CTATTTAATCAAAATGACGATCGATAAATCAAGCTATAAAAATATCACTTATTCATGATTCAAGATATTGAATTATCAAAAAGAATTCAAATCCAATATATATTCTCAATCTCCTTCAAGTGCTCATTTTATTTCCTTATGAAATAAGCACCGAGGATATACACTCGCAATGCCAAAAAATTCTTAAATAAAAAATATTTGACTCATGACCATAAATCAATTGAAGAGGAGATAATTTCGATAACTTATGGGTCATATGCGAATAAGTATTGCTGCATGTAAGATTGCATGTCCCCAAACATAAACATGGAGTTTTATTTTTAAATAATTGTTTAGCTATCAATTGGAGCCTTTTAATAAATAATTTTGCTAAACCTTTTTTAGTATGAACATGAGCAATAGGGTGTTCAATAGCCAATCAATAATAATTTAATGCTTGAGAAAGAAATTCATCGAGCATTATCAAAGTGACTTGCTTTAATGGCATAATTTGAAATTTATACTCGAAATCAAATTATTTGCTAGTAATCTCGAAAACGTCGAGTTTCGAGTAGATAATAAGTATATATGTAACCATCTTGTGGATGTATTTATCAACATCATAAAATATTTAAATTATCCACATGGTGGATGAATTGATCCACATATATCACTTTGAATATATTCTAAAATACCGAAGATTCAATCTCAATTTTACTTGATGATGGCTTAATCATTAATTGCCTTGGCAACATGTAGAACATGAAAGTTCATTAAACTGAAGAATCTTATGGCTCTTCGATAGATATTCATATAATTTTTTTAATATTTTTTTTGCATCATGAAAGACCCAAGATAAAACAACTGGTCATGTCACATAGTAAAAGCATTTGAATTAGTAAACTTCGGTTTACTATAATATTTGTCTCAATCATTTCAATGTTTGTAATAAAGACTATAAGAGAAAACGGATAAATTTTTTTTTATAGATATTTTCTACCCGATATAATGATTATAACATATAAGAATTTGCATTTGCTATCTTGATATGATATCAATTCAGATGAATATCTTTAAAACTCAAAATATTTCTATGAGACTTTGAAGATAATAGTACATCATTCATAATAAATTTATCATTTAAGATAATAACATATTTGCTCTTCCGGAGCCTTTAAATTAGTTACTTCAAGTAATAATATATCGACTCTTCTAGAGCCTTTAAAAATTTTCTCTTTAAGTAATAATTTATTCACTCTTCTAGAGCTTTAAAAATTTATCTCTTCAAGTCATGATATAATCGCTAATCTAGAGCCTTCAAAATCTATCTTTTTAGATAATAATATAATCGCTCTTCTAGAGCTTTCTATTAGATTGATATTATCATATATAATATTAACATGAAATAAATAATCAAATAAATCAATATATCCCTCATAAACACAAACAAATAAATAAATAGTAAAATAAATTTGTAACCATTAATAGACTACATAAATTATAAGAAATATAAAATATTTTATTTATAAATAGAAAAACTAACAAGTAATTAATTTCAATTACTATTACTTTGATATATAAAATTAGCCTCTATATTTTATTTTTTTTCTTTTTCAATGAGGTTTAACAAGACTTGATGAGGTGCTTTGGTGTACGGCAGGTACACGACTAATGTCCATTCATACTATATTTATAACATTCATTTTTAGAATGTTGACTTTATCTATTTTCATTCTCTCGTTTTTTTTTTCCATAGTTATCCACTTTTAGTGGTAAGATGTAATATTATGGTCATCGAATTATAATGATAATTATTTTAACAACATCCATGACTATGACTACATCTGCGTCCATGTCTAAAATTATTATAAATTGTCACATTCACTTCGGGGAATGGAATAGATCCAATTGGACAAGATTTATTCTTTTTCATTTTATTTAGCCACTAACAAGTATAAAATAAATCCAAAATATTACTTAAACTCTTTTTCTCGATATGCGATCGCATGAGCATATCCAAGACATAAAAAGTAGATAATATTTTTTCAAAATTAAGCACTTATAATCAATAATTCTTATTCAAAATATCAAGAGTCACCAAATCAAGTTTATGAGGTTTGATATGATAAAAATTCTATAATACAATATATAAGAATAATATTAGAAAATAAGAACAAATATAATAATAAAATTAAAGATCTTCAAATAACATATATTAGATCATTAGTAGATCATTTAAGTTTTTCAAATATATATTTCATGTATCAATAGATTTAAAGTACATGAATAAATTAGATACATGCCTCTTAATGATCTAAATAATTTAGATCTTTTGGTAGAACACTTGTGTAGAAAAAAATCCAATTGTTAAAACAATAGATTAAATCTTTTGGTAGATACATATCTCATGGTCTATTGTCTCAATTGGTTAGAGCTTCATGTTGATAACGTGTTATAAAATAAATAGAAATGATAGGAGAATTGAATAAAAGGATGACAAGAAAATCAAATCACTATAATGTGAATATGGGCGATAAGAACTTCAAAGTTTCTCTTATTCTCTCTAGCAAACTTGTACACCAACTAATTAACAATCAAGCCTATTTATAGGCTTCAAAATCGAGGAGAAAATTGGAAGGGACTATGAATAATCAATTGCATCACCCTTTCAATTTCTCATATTGAATAATGAATTGAATCATATTAAGAATCATGAGTAGTGAAGATATGAAAAGTTGATGAACATGATGATGAGCATTCATTATTTCATAACACTTTTAAATTATAAATTAACATAAAAAAACTATAAGAAATAACTTTTGAATTATTACTCAAAATCAAAAATTATAATTTAAAAGTTATGGCAAACAGATAATTTAGATTAGAACACAGAATAAGAGAGAACCGGACGGTAACAAACAAAGTTCAAAGCAGCAAAGCGGTTTGGTTATAAAAACAGAAAACGCACACACCAACAAAAACAAAAAAAAAATATAACCTCAGTGGTCCGCAATATATTTCTTTTTTTCTTAATTATTCCCGATCTTTATTTTTAACCAACCAACGTGTCTAGAAATCCCGAATTAAATACTTCCACGAACAGATGTGCCTAACCCTTTTTCAATTGGGTCTCCATACTCTAAATGTTGTTAGGAACCGAACCTCTGTCGACGGAAGGATCCAATTGAGGATTGGTTATAACTATCTCTTGAGGATCCAATTGAGAAACGTTTTATACGCCAGGGATTAATCTAAGGTTATTCCAAAACGAAACAAAACAACGAAAGATAGATAGACAGGCGTGACACCCCAACTTTTTTCAGTTTCAGCTGTGCCAGTGAATAAACAGCGGGCGTTGCCCAAATTCATGTACGTTTTTTTCTTTCCTTTCTGCTTACTATTTACTTTCCAAACAAAACAAAACCACCGTGACCCTTCTCTCTCGCTCTCAGACAAACACAGAATCATCTATTTGAATTGAAAGTACAAAACTGCTTTCCCTTTACATGCACTTAAACTCTCCATTCTTGATTTTAACGACAACAAATTTAGTCTTTATTTTGTTGGTATGGTTTCACTCTTGGCTGCTTGAACTTGAATTAAATGCTAGCCTTGAATTATTGAAGGAACAATACAATTAGGGTTGTTATGATTCTTTGTTGTTTTGGAGTTGTATTACTATCTGATTAATTAGAATTGGAGTTAAAGGTTGTGGGATTATGAGATTGTAGTAAAAAGAATATATAGGGTTTTTGTGGGGTTTTTAGGTTGTAGGAATGTTGAGGGTTGGTGTATTAATTACTTGGAACTTTTTTTTTCTTTTTTCTTTTTAGATTTGGAGGTTTAAAAAATCTTTATTGGTGGATTTGAGGGAAATGAGTTTGTTTAATTGTGATTTTGTGGCATTAGAGAAGTTTTTTTTTATTTTTTTTGGGGGGGGGGGGGGGGGGTTTCTGTTTTGGTCACGAATTTTGTGAAACAGCAATAGAAGTAGAGGAAAGGGCAACAGGGGTGTGATAATTTCGTATAGTGAAAGTGAGAAAAGAATGGTTTGAAGAGTAGACTTTTTTGATGCATCTCAATGGAGTTTTAGGTTAAGATATGTTGCTTTTGTTTGGGAAGGGTAAAGGTGGTGAATTGTGACCTTGCTTTAAGAATGTGATGATCACATTGCTAGTTGAGGCATAGTCATTTTGAAATTTAGATATAAGGGAAGATATTGGTCAATCGATTGATGGTATTTAAGTTCCCAAGTTTGCACATTCGAAAAGTGTCAGTGATAAATTCAAATGGCATTGAGGTTGATCTTTAGGTTTGATTACACGTGCCTGCTTTCCCGTTCTTGGAAGTACTGTTGCTGTATTAGTTTAATTTGATACTGCATCAATTAATTAATGCAGCATAAAGCTGTTGGTTACCATATTTTACACGCTAACACATGGTTATTTTTGAGATGTTTGCTACATTTAGCAATTTGGAACTTGTAGGTATCTGTTTTAAATTTTTAAGAAATAGTGCGAGTGGAATTTCATGGTTTTATTGTCCTCTGAGCAATATTCATTTTCAATTAGACATTTTTGTCTCGCCTGTTACAGATAATGATTTCATGCATTGCTTTGTTTGTTTTTGTATCATTCAAGTAACAGTTTTTGGTTTCTAGAAACACGTGATATGGTGGGAAACTTGAGTTGAAATAATGATTTTCCTAACACTGATTTGATTACTTCTACGATTGTAATTTGATTTTTGGTAACTTTTGTTTGTCTTTCGAAGAATCTTTTAATAATGACGTCAGTTGCCTCCAAGTTACTTTTTTCTACCGTCTATTTAGTTGTGTAGATCTTTGGCTCTTCTGTTAAGGGTGAGTTGTTTGTGTAAATATGATGAAGTTCCCAATTATGTAATACCAGTAATTTGAAGCTTAGAATGTCATTTAAGGATGAACTGCTGGTAGTTCCATGCGAGCCGCCAAAAAAGTCAGCAAGGTAGATGATTTTCCAGAGGGAGTTTAGGGAACCAACATGGTTAGAAGAGTCCACTTTAAACCCATTAGAGCTCCACAACTTTCCTATTGTATCCTGCAGGCAAAACCATCGGATGAGAACTATCTTGCCATTCCATGGGTATCACATACAGATGCTCCCCTTGCCTTTAATTTCCTACTTAGATGGACTATCTTCCGTCAGCATGTAGAGGTGTTCTTCCATGATCTGAATGTACGTTTGCTTGTAGCCTTTCCAGGTTAATGTATCAACTTAAGTGATAAAGGTCTAGGAAGAAATACAAGGCAAAGGATGCAAAATTTAATAACGTAGGTCTTCTCAAAGGTTTAAATGAAAATGATTCTTCATCCAAATGAACCTAGGTAGTGTTTTTTTTTATTATATCAATAGGCTTCGGAGAATGGGTTGCTTGACTCATTGAAACTGGAAAAACTCTACTATTAAGTTGTTAGTGGAAGTCTCGGCTCTTTTCCACAATCCCTTGATTTTTGTCTTATTTAGTTTCCTGAAAACAAGCCAATGATTTTTTCCAGAAGTGGACAATGGTTGACATAAATGGACAGCGCTTGTATGGATGGGCTATTATTTTGTATATTTTGATAGCATACATTGTATGCTGCAAGCTCAAGTTCGATATCTGCTGTCTCCTTTTCTGTGACTAGATGTTTTTCGATTTGCTGATATGTAGTAGTAGTTCATCTGTTTGAATAGAATTATTTTTCATTCTACTTACCATCAGAAACTCAATTGTTTTTCTATCAATGTTATTGAAGTTGTTTCATCTTTCCATTTGTGCTTCTGATATATAAATATACAGTGGTAACTGTTACTGCCATATTGGAAAATACTAATGTCATGGTAATTTTTGCTGGTTTAGTTGTTGTCCGACGCACGCTGCATCCATAGATGGCCAATAACCCTCAATTCTCTGGAATGCAGGTAATGTTCTGCCGGAAAAAAAAAAAAAATCTTTATAGTGCGCTTTTCATTCCTTTCGGGTACTCAAATCTAGCCTACTTGCTACTGCATATTCATATAGCAATATACCTTGGATTTCTTCATATGCCTCTATTTTCTTTTTTTATTTGATTTTTTGTGGCTTATTTGCCATGGTTTTCCAATCCCGTGATTTGTACACGAAAAGTGTGCTTTTAATTAGCCAGTTATTTTGGAAAATAACATATGCCATGCCATAATTCAAACCTCTTATTGCATATCAATCTATCTCGTGTCTGGACAAAAAAGAGACAGGGAAAAGAAATGTAAGTATCCTGTTGATGGCCAAAATACAAATTTAAGACAGATGGTTGCAACAATAGTAATGTTTAAATTTATATGTCTCGAAATATACATAAGTGCAACCACACTCTTGTTTGACAAGGTGCAATCAATGCTCATAATTTTTCTTTCGTTTTGATTTCTTTTTCCTTGATCCATTGTTGAAGGAACAATTATCCAACAAGTTCACAAGAGTGTTTTTGGCCTCTTAAGGCTGATATGTTTATTGGTCATGCCAATATAAGGGTTTGTTATGGTTTGTATGTGGGCTTTGTTAGCTTCGTTGATATGTTCTTGTAAAATTCCTGATGGTTAATGGTTGATATTTCACTTGTCATGATTAAGGCTATGATATAAAGTGTTTTGACCCATTTATGTTTGAAAGCGAGTATTCAGGGCCCACAGTGCTACTTTGTGTGTTTAGACATGAGGCTTATATATATATATATATATATATATATATATTTTTTTTTTTTATTGGACATACCATCACCTAAGTAGATTGAGTAACTTGAAAGCAAAACACCCCCTTCCTAGCATTGGAATCATCGAGTTGTCATGCAATAAATTCTTTGCTGCATTTATCATCAATATGCTAAAACGCCAGAGAAATCTATGTTGTGCTGAAAGAAGTGTAACAAAATTGTATGTTATGGTATAGAATTAAATGTTAGTGATTTTGTTCTTATCTAATGAATTTCCTTTTATTCGAAGAAAAAAGAAAGAGTTGGTGGATAGCATAAATGATAATTGACTTATTTCTTTGTCTCTCTATTGCATCAATTATTCAGTTATATTCAATGTTCTCTATCATGTAGTTCGTGCCATTTACGGAAATGTTCATTAGAAGACAAATACTACTCTTGAATTTGCCACTTGTTTGCAAAACTGGTTCTTCTGGCAATTTTCCTTTATCTTTTGCTTATTGTGCTCTTTTTTTTATTCAAAAGCCTCTTCAGCCTCCTCTAGTTGGCTCCATGGATCCTCGAAATTTTGTTCCACCACCACCAATGCCTGTTCAAGTAACGTTGCTCACCTGTTAAAATTTATAGATCACCCATTTCAATTACTTCAAATAGATCTGGAGAAATCTTTTTCAATCAATTGTTGCTGCAGTTCCGACCAGTTGTTCCAGTGCAGCCACAACAATTCATTCCTGTGAATTCTCCACACTTTCAGCCTATTGGACGAGGTGTCACTGTGATGAATGCGGGATTGCCTCCTCAACCCCCACAACCTCAATTTCCTCATTCAATGCAGCAGTTACCAGCTAGACCTAACCAGCCAAGCCATGGTCCACCACCACCACAGGCAATGCAATTGCCAAATGCTCAGCCAAACAGGCATGTCATGTCTGGATCTCCACTGCCTCCACCTAATATTCAAACTCCAAACAACTACATGCCTGGTTTAGGTGGCCCAGGAGTGCCTCTGTCTTCATCTTATACTGTAAAATACTGGGAGATCCCTCATAGTTGATTTTCTGAGTTCGATTGGTATCTCATCCTTTTAATTTATAGAATCTGATTTTTGCAGTTTGCACCGTCTTCATATGGTCAACCACCAGCAACCTTTAACACTGTAACTCAATATCAGCCTATGCCTCAAATGCATGCACTGGCTATTCCCACTGGAGGACAGCCTGGATTATCATCCATGAACCAGAACACTGCACCTGTTATGCCTATACAGCACAATGGCGAACAGTCTTCAGTTACCACTGCTAATGTTCCGGTTGGGAGATCCCTCTAATATTCCTCTCTTTTTGATGTTGTTGCTCTGCATCACCTTTTCTCCTTTGCAATTTGAACAATTCTTTATATGTCTTTTTCTGGTGTTGGCATCACATGGATTTGCAGGCAACAGGTATCCAGCCTAAGCCGACTGAAGAAGTCTTGACAGAGTGGAAAGAACATACATCTGCTAATGGAAGGAGGTATGTGGTTCCTAGTGGTGCAGGTTGTTGTAGGCGTACAATACGACACTGCCAGATTAGTTTGGCTATGTTTATTTATTTATCATAAGCAGGCAGTGAGAATTCTACCCCAGCTTCATTTGATTAAGAATCACTTCTTGTGATAATTCATTGCTGTTAACAATTCTATTTGATGTTCAATTGATGTTGCATTTACATATTTGTTTAATTTATTACTCTTTGCCTGATATCCAGGTTTTATTACAATAAGAGGACAAAACAATCTAGTTGGGAGAAGCCTTTTGAGTTAATGACACCAATTGAGGTGAGTTTGTGTTAATGCTGTTGTTGGCCTCTTGAGTTATTATTCATAATTTGTAGCTTTATGACTGGAAAATTTTGTGGAACTGTGTGCATATGCATCCCTCCATGTTATAGTACAATTTTCTTGGGCTTTAATGTGACAGTTTCTTGTTATATGGATTCCTTCCCCAATTGCAAGCTGATCACTTGGTACATTTTATACAAGTTTGGTAAATGAAACCTGCCACGCTAGCCCTCCATTAAGGTTGGATTTTTTTCTCAAGCAGGCAACCCTACTACTTTTGACTTTTTGTCTCTGTTGTTTTTTTTTTTTTTTTTTTGCATAAAATTGGTAGTGGCCTAAAAAGGTATGGTCTCATGAATCGACAAAATGCTATTTGTGCGTTAACCATTCTTACCATCACCCAGCGTATTCTTCTTAGTAATTGAAGGAAAATTTGTTTCTTCTTCTTCTCCTGCTGCTTTTCTTCTTCCATCTTCACCTTCGCTTTTTATCTTTTTTTGCTCAACTTAATTATGTCTAAATATTTGAAAGAAAAAGGAATGATACTTTAATCATTTGTCTAGAAATGTTTTTTCAAGTAAATCTCTGTCTCTCTCTCGTCTGCCCTGCTTGTTTGCCCAGTTTCTCATTTGATCATTTGGACTATGCTTGCAAAATGGCTATGCTTTTTGAATGCTTTTCTGGTACTGATCGCCAATACCTGGTACTCAGGCTATCAGTATATCACATAGTTGAGTGTGATGAATATCTTGACCTTTCATTTTTGTGTAGCTCAGTAAATATCCTTTGAAAAAATTGTAAGTTTTACTTGTTTGTGATTTATTCTAAGATGCTTATCTACTCTAACATAATTCCCCACTAATTCTTATTCAATTACTACTTATTTCAAGGTACTCTTGTGATAAGTATTTCAAAGGCATCATGAAATTCGTCCCCTTTTGATATCTGTTCTCATTAGGCTGAATGTTATATGAACTCCTGTTTGATTTCTTGTTATATTAAAAAAAAAACCTTGTTATGACTCCCATAGCTTTAAAGCTGCTGACAGGTACGAGCTGTGCTACTCTATGAGAGGTAGGATATGCTGTGGGTCTTTGCTGCTTGCACTACCTACTTTATAGCTTGAATGTTAGTAATTCTTGTCATTTGTGTTATTTTCTGATTGTTATGGATTTATTCGTGTGAATTGTTGTGTTACTTGGTTAGTATGCACTGACAAGGAAACTTCTTGACATGTTTGACCACAAAACAAACATCCCTACTAGGCTTTAAATGTCTGACCAATATCCTGAGCTCCATACTAGGCCTAAATATCTGTCTGATATCCTGAGCCCCCAGAACGAACTCATTATTCCTTTAATTTCATGAAACCGAAAGCAAAAGAAGGAAATGCATATTGTTTTTTTTTCTTTCTTGGATTACTTGCACATTGACACTTTATAAGATGGGTTTTTACACTTTCTGGAATGTTATGATACTGCTGGTTCCCTCTTTTTTTTATTTCGTTTTAGTTTTTGCATATATGTTCATTGTTCATTAAAAAACCATGATGGTGAAGTGAATATAACATAGTGAAAATACTGCATTTTGTGGAATAATGAGAAAGTGAGGGGTACTTGAAAGCAGGTTTGAAGCTTGGGTATCGCTGAAAGTACTTATATTCCATGCTGTTTCCTCCTTTTTTTGGGAACCAGGAGTTTGTTGATCTCTTAATCTGTTTGCAATGTCCTTGTCCGGTTAAGCTTTTCAATTGTTTGGATTTGATGCATAAGTAGCCACCAATTTTCAGAAATTTTTGTTTGCTCTTATGAAAGTTGTCACTTTTTTGTTGTTATTGGTTCTGTATAAGAATTGTTGAATTCTATCGTTCATGGTTTCTGACTAAACTAAGCAAATTTGAATGTTTCTCTAGGACTAAGCTTTTTGTTTTTTTTTTAATTATTCTTCAAGTTCTTCATCGATTTGTCTTTTCAAAGCAGCAGTGATCAGATATTGTTTCTCTTTATTCATTGATTTATTTATTTTGCCAACATAGAGGGCAGATGCTTCAACTGACTGGAAGGAGTTTACGAGTCCTGATGGACGAAAGTGCGTAATTTAATCTACTTTCCTTGGAGCTATTTATTCAGTGTTTATATGAAGATTTTCTCTCTCTCTCTCTCCCTCTCTAGTAAAGCGACTAAGCTTTTTTGGGATGTTTTTGGGTGCTATTCTGTCTATGAATCCTCTAGATATTACTACAACAAAGTTACCAAGCAGTCAAAATGGGAAATCCCAGAAGAATTGAAGGTTTCTCCTGCACCAACCTATTTACTTTTCTTAAAAAATATATTTTCATCTTTTTTTTTAATTTTTTTTTTTTTAAAGACAATCTTGTTTATCCCACTATTGTTTTAAAATACTTGCTTCAAGGTGGCTCGTGCACGAGTAGAAAAGCCATCTATCATGGAAACACAATCGGAAGTCTTTGCAAATTCTCATGCCCCTACTTCTGTTCTTCCATCTGTGGATAAGACACCATCTAGTGCAGATGCTTTGTCTTCTACAGCTCAAGGGGCACCATCGAGTCCAGTTCCTGTTAAACCTGTTCCTGCTGCTGGTAATTCAGAATCTCAGTTAGCTTCTGATTCATCACCCTTACCTGTTATCTCCTCTTCCATGACGAGCAACGCTGATGAAGTTCAGACAACTGAGAGTCCTGTTGCTGATGTTCCAAAAAGTGCTGAAGTCACTGCCACAGCAGTCAACACCATAGCTGCACCAATGTATTGTATTCTCTACTTATTTCATAAGAAACAGAAGTAGCATGTATCTTAGGTTCACTTATTTATTAAATGTTTTAGGAACAACAACTTTTCAGCTCTAAATAAACCCAGTTCAGCAGATGATGCTCCTGCACAAGATAAACAGGTAGCTGTCAGCATTAGGATTTCTGTAAGTCTGGAAACATACTGGACTTGCTTTACTAGTGACTTGATGTGGTTTATGCCTTCCAGGAAGCTGAAAAAGATATGGTCATAGATGAAAAGGTTAACAATGTTACATTGGAAGAGAAATCAGTTAATCAGGAGCCCTTACTTTATGCTGATAAGCTGGTATGTATTTTACAGATTGAAGTCTCTTACTGTGCTTTTTCTGGGTATTGATGTTTTGACTATACATTTTTCCTCCCCCTATTTCTAGGAGGCAAAAAATGCATTTAAAGCACTTTTGGAGACTGCAAATATTGGGTCTGAGTGGACCTGGGACCAGGTAATTCAACACATTGGATGTGTAATTCTGTCTCTGGCATTTGGAAGTTCCTGACTTTGCTCCTGATTGTATCAGGCCATGAGAGTAATAATCAATGATAAAAGGTATGGTGCATTAAAAACACTTGGAGAGCGGAAACAAGCATTTAATGAGGTAAATACTTACAGTTTTTGTTCTTTAAGTTTTAACCCCTTAATTTGTTCTCTCACAAAAAATAAAAAAATAACAATTCAATACTTTGTTTGATACTTTCTGGAATTACTTGTGCATTCAAAATGTCATTTATCATGATACTAACTTTCTGTTTCAGTTCTTGGGTCAGAAGAAAAAACAGGAAGCTGAGGAAAGGAGGATTAAACAGAAAAAAGCACGGGAAGAATTCAAGAACATGCTAGAAGTATGTGTGTGATTTTCTATTACGTGCATGTACAGATGTGTGTGTGTGATTTTTCTATAAGAATTTTTTTTTTTTTCCATTTGTTCTAACTTAAAATCTTTGCAGGAATCCAAAGAGCTGACAGCATCCATGAGATGGAGGTTTGTATTTTTTGATGTCATTTTAATTCTTCATTCTAATTCTTTCTCCACTTGCTCCTTATAAAATGGCTGTTTTCTTAATAATTTCTCATTTCTACTTGAATGCTCGAAATATCGTTCAGTAAAGCAGTGACTTTGTTTGAAAATGATGAGCGATTTAAAGCTGTTGAGCGGGAAAGAGACCGTAGGGATCTGATTGAAACCTACTTGCAGGAACTTGAAGAAAAGGTATACTTTGCTAGCTTCATTGCTCTATCATCTATTTATAACATCCACGAGATAATTTACTCCTTTATTGGTAATTCATATGAGCAAAGAGTTACAGAACGTAGAGGACATAACAACACCCCCTCCAACCCCAACCAAAAAAAAAAAAAAAAGAAAAAGAAGAAGGGTTGGAGCAAAAATGAGTTTCAATGTTAGCTCTGTAGAATAGCTACAGCATTCTGCCGATATGTCTTATGCATGATGTATAGCACTAGTTGCATGATTTTGATAATTTCCAGAGGATATCTCGCTATTATTTTTACCCAGTTGTCAACACATGGAGACCAGGCCCTTATAAATGTATTTGGAGTTTGTTCATTACTACTATAGTCTGTATGTTTTGCTGCATGTTTGTTTCTTTTTCGAAGTCTAACAACAGACGGCAGCAATAAATGAGGTTGTGAATTTGAAATCTTTAATTGGGATTTTGACTAGGAACGAGCAAAGGCACAGGAGGAGCGCAAGAAGAACATTATGGAATATAGGCAGTTTTTGGAATCGTGTGAATTCATTAAGGCAATTTTTTGGCAAAGCGAATTTCATTCTTCAGGCTTCCTTTCGCTGTGCAACTTCTTACTTATCCATCATTTGCCCTCTGTAGGCAAGCACCCAGTGGAGAAAAGTACAAGATCGGTTAGAAGCTGATGAACGATGTTCATGTCTTGAAAAAATTGATCGCCTAGAAATTTTTCAGGTAATCATCTTCATTTAGCAAGTGACATTTGTATGGGTATTTGGAGCTAATTTCACAATGGTGTCTCAGGATTATCTACATGATTTGGAGAAGGAAGAAGAGGAGCAAAGGAAGATACAGAAGGTTCTATTATTAGTTAGCCTTTGTGAAACGAAAGATTTTATTTTGCTTTAAACTATATTCTTATCCCAGTTTTGATGAAAATAGGAAGAACTGAGAAAGGCAGAGCGTAAAAATCGTGATGAGTTCCGCAAGCTACTTGAAGAACACGTTGCTTCAGGCACTCTTACAGCCAAAACTAACTGGCGTGATTATCACCTGAAGGTTATTAACCCATTTTGTTTTTGTTTAGATAAGCATCTCTGAGTGTATGTGCCTCTTTCTCACAAGTGAATTTGATTTTGTGACTGGGAATTGTATATTAGGTTTCTGTTAAGCAGAGCTGCTTTGCCTCATGCTATGGGATGCATTTTCTCATAGATTCTGACTTTAATTTGTCATTCAGGTTAAAGATTTGCCTGCATATGTGGCTGTTGCTTCAAATGCCTCAGGTTCAACTCCAAAAGATTTGTTTGAAGATGTCACTGAGGAGCTACAGAAACAGGTAATTATACCTTGTTTAGTTTCATGATAATTGGCATTTTCATCAAGAAAAGCACATTATGTTGAGCAAAAAATGCCATTATGAACTTTAGGGTTTATAGGAACATGTTTTATTTTGTTTTATTCTTGATGTTTCAGCATTTTCTTTGTTATGCCCACTATATATATATATATATATATATTTTTTTTTTTTTCAGGTTTGTCCTTTATACAAATATGACATACTAGAATTTGGTTTAAATGTAAGATACAAGCAGCAGCTTCTCTGCGGTGAAAATCCAGAATGTCTAGCTACATGTTCTACATGATTACTGTATTGCTTATGGGCACGCCACGGATTGATTGAAATTTCTTAACATTTTTGGGTGGGTGAGTGTCCTTTGACTTGATGTTCCAGCGCTTACAAATTTGCAATGTGCCTGGTTTTTTTTACAGTATCATGAGGACAAAATTCGGATAAAGGATGTTGTAAAGTTGAAAAAGGTATAATCTGAAAATTTTGTCTTCTTTTTCACATGTTCTGTTCTCTTAGATGTCTAATATGCTCGAACTTGTAGGTTCCTTTGGCATCAACCTGGACACTTGAAGATTTGAAGGTCGCTATTATCGAGGATGTTAACTCTCCACCTATATCAGATGTGAACCTAAAGGTGTTGTATGCTCTATTAAAAGTTGATTCTTCTTCAAAGTGTCATGCTTGTCTTTTCTATGGTGAATTGGCATGCTTGTCTTTTGCAATGTCGTTTTCTCCACATTTCATTGGGTTACATGTCCCTTTTGAGTTTCCTCTATTATGTATAGTTGGAATTCTTGGCATCTGATTGAAAAGATTAAAAAGAAAGAAAGGAATTGTTAGAAATTGGATTTTTACCGGGTTGCATATTCACACTGTTCCATGTCACCAGAATATAATCACTGTTGCTTGGCAATTGGTTGAATATGATTACTTGGACCAATAATGAGTGTCCTTTCCTCAAAATGTTGTCTGGATTATGGATAACCTAATTCAAATCTAGGAAGCCTGAGCTTGCACAGAAATAGCTCAAAACTAGCACTGCCCAATTTGAAGGCAAATGGTATCTAGATTTGGAAATAGGGAACTACACTGTTGTGTACATGGTTTTATTTTCGAAGGACTTTTTTCCTTGCTTGCTTTTGTGCTTTTTTCTTTTTGGGAAACATATGTGCTACAGTGATCCAATGTGATCCTTTCTCTGCAGATGGTATTTGATGAGTTGCTGGAAAGAGCCAGAGAAAAGGAGGAGAAAGAAGCCAAGAAGCGTAAACGTCTTGCGGATGATTTTCTCAATCTACTACAGTCTATCAAGGTATAGTGTCCTTTGTATTGGATGGATAATTAAGGGAATTTTCTTCCAATTGTCCATCTGATTCTCTGCTTTGTTGCAGGATATAACTGCATCCTCAAAGTGGGAGAGCTGCAAGGAAATCTTTGAAGGTAGCCGAGAGTACAGGTATTACTTGCAAACGCCATGATAATGTTAATTCAGTGAATCTATGATATATGCATCTGCAAAAAGTTTTGGACGCTTACAAACATGTCAAGACATCTCTTCTTTCTTTTTATTTATGAAAACACAATTTCTTTTCTTTCTTTCTTTCTTTTTTTTTGGGTTTTGCTAGAAGAATATGCAGTTTTTATTCCCCTTCAAATTAGTTGTGTTTTATAAGTCACAATTCGTTGATTTCTATGCTACATGCTGTATTTTATCAATTTTCCTGTATGTCTCATTTGGCTAACACGTGACCAATTGAATTTAAGAACTTTTCATGAATAATCATATCCATTATCTGAGCTTTGCTTTATTCGTAATATCATTTTGCTTGATGTTGTTTTGTAGTTCCATTGGTGAAGAAGGCGTCTGCAGGGAAATATTTGAGGACTATACATCCCAACTGAAAGAACAGGAGAAGGAGAATGAGCGGAAACGAAAGGAGGAAAAGGTATGAAATGGTTTCATGTGTCTCTAAACAGCACTCAAAACTCAAAATGTGTGCTCTTTTCCTTCCAATATATCTCATGGATATATAGAAAATAGAACTCAGTGCTGAGTACTATTGTGATCTTATGACTTCTTAGCATGTAGGTGTGAACATATTACAACTTGTAAGCATAAAATTATAATGCTGATGTTTCTCAAGGATCATTTGTCTCAGAAGATGATCACTGTGAACAAAACCATGGTTCTGGTATTTTTGAACTGATATTTGAACCATGACTATTACTTATGTGAGCTTCACTCACTTCCCATCTGGGACATGTGTAAAATAAAATAAACTTGGATAGTAAAGTGGTAAATTTTTGGTTTTAATATTCTGCAGGCAAAAAAGGAAAAAGAGAGAGAGGAAAGAGAGAGGAGGAAAGCAAAGCATAGAAGGGAAAAGGAGAGGGGACATGAAAGAGACAAGGAGCACACTAGGAAGGAAGAAGCAGATGTTGAAATTGCTGATACAACAGAAACTCAAGTTTGCAGTGATAAGAAAAGATCTGGGAGTGACAATAGCAGGAAACAGAGGAAGAGGCATCAAAATGCTGTGGATGATCTGGATGAAAGTGAGAAGGATTGGTCCAAGGGTTCCCATAGACATGGCAGCAGTGACCACAAAAAATCAAGAAGGGTATGCAGTTCTTTTCCTTGTCATGCATGTAATACTGGGCTTCACATGCAATTTGTTGATAAATCGATGCAAGAATGGAACATGCTTTTCTCTGTTTATTTATTTATTTTTTAATTGATGCAGCATGCTTCCACCCCTGAGTCAGACAGTGAAAGTAGGCACAAGAGACACAAGAGAGACCACCGTAATGGTTCTCGCAGAACTGGTGATCATGAGGATCTTGAAGATGGGGAATTTGGTGAGGATAGGGAAACTCGGTAGTTATCTCATCCTAAAATTTTTTTATTCTTTTCAATTTCTCTTCTATGTTTTATCTGTATTACAAAGCTGAACTGTTTTCTAAAGCATCACCTCAATAGAATAGAGTTTAAGTCGTATTTCCTACATCTTTCTGTAATCTGTATTTGCATTGGTTTTTGGTTTAATCAGCCATACATCCATGTTTTTGTTTTGGATAATATCTTGAGATAGGTCACGTTTCATGGACACTGTTGTAACATTCCAAATTAAAATTAAGAATCTGAAATATCTAAAATGCACTGTAGAACTCAAAATTAAGTCATGAACTAGAGTTGAATAGCTTAAGTGGTATTTGTTTGACATTGCAGTCAGTCCAGTTAGTTTTGATCTTTTAGACTACTGTTCCAGGTTTTGGTTGGACGATAGGCTGGTTTACTAGCCTAGGACCATCAGTTTATTTGCGTCGGCCTATTCAAGTATACATTGGCCTCACGGAACTTGTTCCTATAACTTAATGATGCCAATAGTTGCTGCGGTTAACTGGTACTTTTCTGCTTTGTATTAGTTGATATTGTACTGTATTATCTTGTATGGACTTCCATTCCTGCTTTCAGACTCCCTCCTTAGGCCGTCGGGCAAAATAGAGGGCCTTTCGGTGCACAAATTATGAATTGAAAGGAGAAAAGGAGAGTGTAATGGAGATTGGAGAATTATACGTAAGATGCGGAACTTGAACTAAGAAGCAATCTCCCTGAAACGGAAAGTTTTGGGATTCCCAGGAGAACTTGTACCCAGAAAGTTATAAACATTATCTAGTCAGCAATTTGCATCTCAGTCAGTTTACAACGAAACCAGCTATAATGGCGCCACAGTGGATATGTTTTGTACGTACACAGAAGGGGTACCCCATGAAATTGAAGAACACGCCCACCGATGGAAATTGGTTATTTTCCATTAATGGCTATTATTCGTGTATTGTTTCTGTCATTAACACTTGCTCATCTTTCTTGATCATGATAATTTGTGTTTTGTTGGTTTTCTTACTCGTTTATTGAAGTACGAGACAATTGTTTTCCACTCTGCAATGCTTGGTAGAGTGCTGGTAGTCTGGTACTGCTTTATTTTCTTGATGTTTCCCGTACTTTCTAAAGTCCACTTTAACACGATGAAGAAGAATATATAACGCTTCTAATTATTAATTATTGAGGTTGTGAACCAAGTTGAAAGTTTATGATGCCATGGGAACTCCTGAAGCTCAGCCAGTTGAGCAAGCTGAGACTGAATTTCTTGTAATTTTTACGGAGGTTCTGTAGCTATGTGTTAGTTTCTGTTTTGTCGAGTAAATAAACACAATCTTTTACTGAAAGAGTAAATCAATTAATTCCTGAATTATTTCATTCAAGATAGTATCTCCTATCTCTATCCCTATCCTCCTATTTAGCTGCTGCAAGTAGCAGCCATCTTCTACTGTGCTAGAGACATCAATATTTATTTGTTCGGCTGCATTTTGTTTTCCCCAAGAGCAAATTTGCTCACAGATGATTTTTCCAAGCTCTTGTGGACCTATGAATTCTTGACCATGCTGCTTTCTTCTGTTCTTCCTTCTATGTACTTCTATGGCTTCGTGTACACAGTCAAAAATTAGCTTCGTGCTTTGCTGTAAGATCCTTTCGTTTCTCAGGTGCTGAGAAAAAGCAGGCCCAATCATCTCCCGTAACTCTGTGAAACTAGAAAGAGACTGATTTTCAATCAGAGATTTAATTAGTAAGTCCCACAAAAAGGCTGATATTATGGAGTCGTCCTCAGCATTTATGCTCAAAACGGTGCTTGAAGCTGATGCATCTTCTTCTTGTTTTGGTGGGAAGCGATGCACTGCTCATTGCAAGAATGGGTTAATACATATCTACAATTATAAAATCAAGAAAGTTGCCGTGTTATTCGTAGATGAAATAACTGATCAATTGTACCTTCTTTTATTGATGGTAGTTCATTTAATACAGACACTGGGCTGTGTTGCTCATTCTGTTCGTTGAATTCCCGTTGAAGATTTATGTCTGCAGCAGCCTGCTGAACTTTGTCAGTAATCAGTTTAAAACAAGAAACATCAACCAAGTAAAATACTCTAATATCCAAATTATAAGAAGGAAATTAAGCTTTGATCATCTTTTCTTGATATTATAAATTTATCTACCTTCTGTTTTAAACTGCCATGCGTCAAGGCTTGAGAAGTCTTTGAATGAAGAGAGGCATGGTTTTCATAACAAGGTGACTCTTTATCACTGCATCTGAAAGATTCACCAACTGCAACTGAACTGCTCACTTTAGGAAGCCACTTCATTTCTCCAATCTGCTGGGGCTTCTGAATTGCTTCCAAAACAAGTTCATGTTTCTGAGCTTTATGGCAGCTTGAAACTGACTGGCCGTATTGGCTAGTGCAAGTGAGCTTTAGTAATAACAGCTTCAGGTTCTTCCTAGTCTGAGTAATTCTTCTTTTGTTCAAATCATAACTGCATGGTCTCTTTTGTTTCTTGTTCATCATGATCTTTCGTTCGGAAAGGTAAGCGTCTAACACAAACGGCTTCTGTTGCTCTTGGAGATGCTCCCAGAGCTGTTTTGATGAAGAAGAAGAAGCCATTCAAGTCCTGCAAACTTATTCTGCAAATGTGGTCAGAGAGAGAGAGTGATGAGGTATGACGGCAGTGAGTATTAGTAGTTGGGTACTGACAGAGAGTATGTCTGTCACATTGAAGGCTAGATATAAAGAAAAGATGATAAAAGGATGTAGATTTAAGTATGTGAAAGAGAGAATTTCGATCTCTATCTTCTTCATATTCTATTGTCTTAAATTTTGGGCATCGTCAATCAATTACAAGATTGCCTATTTTTAGCTTTTGGCTGTTCACAATCTGTGGCTAGATTGCTTGCACTACAATAATATGATATGCCTGCAGGATATTACTTTACTTATATTCTAAAAAAACTAAAACAAAACGCTAAAATACTTTCGCGTTTCTATTGTTCATTCACTGTTTATCTTTTTTTTTTCCCCCTTGTTTATAGCCCTATAGCCGGGTTTTTTTTTAAGCCCAGTTTTTTTTTTCTTTCTTTCCCTTGTTGCTTTAAGTCTCTCTTTTGAATTTAAATTAATTTTATATTTTAGTCCCTATTTTATAATTTTTTTAATTTTAATCATTAAGATTTTATTATATTTGATTTTTAATTCTATAATAAATCTTTTTTTTTCCTCTTGTTGCATTTTTTAAGCTCTTGTTTTGGCTTATAGTGAATTTTATTTTTATTTTAATCCCTATTTTATAATTTTTTTATTGTGCTTATTAAAATTTTATTATATTTCATTTTGTCTCTATAACAAATATTAAAATTTTATTTTATTTTTATTTTGGTTCTTGTTTTGTAACCTTTTATTATTTTAGTCATTTAAATTTTATTATATTTGATTTTTTGTCCCTATAACAAATATTAAAATTTTATTATATTTAATTTTTGGTCATATAATAAATATTTTTTTCTTAGCTTTTAGTAAAACTGTTCACAATCTTGTTATTTATAATTTTTTTTTCTTTTAGTGAAATTTTTTTTTATCATTATTTTATGATCTTTACTTTTTTTTAATTATTTAATTTTGATCGTATGTAATTTTATCTCTATTTTTTTTTGTCAATTTCTTGATTTGACAAAAATTTTTGTCTTTTTGTTTTGGATGGTCTCTCTATCTGGTTAATAAATTACAAATGAAGCATATATGGTAAAAATTAATCACTTAAAATTCAAAAAACTACTCGCATTATTATTTTAATTATCGGTTATTATATATATTTTTAATAAAATACATATTTATATCAAACAATATCTAATTAGCAACATTATATTACTCAACTTTACTGCAAGCTTTTCATTTAACTAACCCTACGGCAAAATATAAGATATATGTTTTTTTTTTTAATTTTTTTATTTGATCCTTTTAAATAATTATTTTTAAATTTTGTATTTTATATGAATGAATACATAAGAATGTTGTATAAATCACTTCGAATTTTTTTCACATAATCCTTTTACATAATTATTTTTAAATTTTAAATTTTATATAAGAATATTGTATAGCTCGATCCGCGACAACGTGGAATATATGTCAGTAAAAATCCAAAAAAACCTATATGTTTACTGTTTAAATATTGTAACTCTACACTCATAATCACTGTAGACTGTGAGTCGATTGCACTGTTCTGGCTTTTTGCTTCGTCTCGGCCGTTCGATCGTCTTCTGCTTTGGCTTCCTCTTTGGATCTCCACTGTCATTTTTTGGCTGCGCCATTTAATGCGTTGCATTGATGGTGCTCTGTGATTGAAATTTGTTTCAATGCTTCTTTTGTCCCTTTTGATTTTTTTTTTTTCCTCATTTTCTTTCTTTCTCCAGAGTCAGTTCGTGGAGGCAGAGGGCCCCACCGTCCCTTCTTGTGTTTACTACAAAAACTTAATCACAAAGTTAATATTTCAATGTGATATCTATCATCATCAGGTTATAAATGCATTTTTGGACTGCTACAGCAAATATGTACCACACACCTACCCCATAATTTCCTGGAAAAGCCAAAACTTCTGACCTTGGAAAAGTCAAATTGCCCTCTTACAAGGTCACCAATAATAGGCTCTAATTCTCCCTACTTCTCTGTACGTAATTGCATGCCACAAATTATTGAAAAATGGCTCTCAAATTTTTGTTTGCTGGCCAATAATTTCATTGACATTTAGTAATGTTTGTTTTGCGCAAAATATTTACATGTTACACAAAATAATTTTTTTATGATGTTTAATAAGTATTAATAATATTAAAAATATGATGATAGTAAAATAATGATGATGGAAGTGATGATAGTGCTAAAAGTGGCAAATGGATCTCTCTTTTTTTGTTTTATTTTGATCACTTTGCTTGTTTTTTTTTTTTTTAATTTTTGAATAAAAAATTTTTAGGTAAAAAAATGTTTAAAAAAAATTACAAAATAAGTGTGTAGTTAAGAATACATTAGTTTTAGCATTCTTTATACTATTAAATAAATTTTTTTAATAAGAATTTTACGAAAAATATAAAAAATAATTAATCAAATATAAAATTTTGATTTATTTTTTATTTGATGAATATTAATAGACGCATAATATAACACGAAATATTAAAATAAAATAATTTTATATTTTTTGTTTAATTGATGACGTAAGGCGAGCGAGAAATCTATTGATAACTAAACTTGATATGGTCTCCTCAGGTTTTGCCTTACATAGAAAAACACATAACAACACAAGATGAATCAGAGGCAGATTGAATGTTCTACATGATGCATGGTGGCAGTTTGGCTATATTCAGACAAAATTCTACTTCTCTTTGTATTTGTTTATGTATGCAAATGGTTCTTTAGATAATTTAATATTCAGACACCAACACTGATTTAAACCCCAAATCACTCTTGCGTGTCCCTCCTTTTGGGGCTAAATACAAAGTCCAGTTGGTCCCCTCATCATAAATTCATCATGTGGGTGGGGCCCTTTATGGGATTTTAGTATCTCTTGGCAAAGTTGGTCTGGGACAACGAGGAGACAGATTATGGGCAATGATTGTCTCATATCATGCAAAACTTTTTTCTTCTTTGAGAACTTATTCAAAGCTCATTTTTCATTTTACTCTCTCCTCTTTTTTTCCCTGAATAATTATGTCTTAAGCCTATCAATGGTATAGTTTTTCTTTTAAACAGATCTTAATAGCATAATTAACAACTTACACTCTAAGCTTTACATTAGAATCTCCAACAAATACTGGTTTATATTTATACCTGTTTTTTTTCTTCTTCTTCTTCTTCTTTTTTTTTTTTTTTTAAAAAAGGCCGTTGTTTTGTGGGAAATACTGCAAACTTTTCGATCACCACTAAAACATAAATGAATAGACTGTAAATTATGTTTTGCACTCTTTCAAAATATGGAATTACACCACGCATTTCTTTTGATTTCAATAAATTATGTTAATCACTTTCTTGATGACGTTTCTATTTTTGTGAAAACAGATAATTATGTTGATATTCTCTTTAAAAAATTAATTCTACGATCTTTAAAGGTAAAAGATTTAAATACTCTAATATATAGAGAATATACATATTTAACTCATCAAGGGACAAATTTCAGCCAAAAAAAAAAAAAAAAAGGAAACGGCAGAAAATAAAAATGCCCCCAGGCATAGAAGGCTTTGGGCCACAATTTTTATGAGCTGTGTGTAGAGCCCAATACTTCCCATTTTGTTCAATGCAATAGCCTATAGGCAGTTCAACTGGACGTCTTAAGCCTACGCAGACAATGACAGAAATAAGTGTCTAAGCCCACATCCATTTATGAGAAAAGCCTTATAAAAAATCAGGAGGTAGGCAGCAGACAGAACGGGTATTATTGAGGGTTAAAAGAACAGTTGGGTTGTTAGTAAAACGTATAAACGAGGTGAAAATGGTCGATTCATACATATTTTGATCGTAGCTTTCAGTGGATAGTGGATCACCTCTTCTTCGTCAAACCTGTCATAACATCATCATGTGGCTCCAAGAAATTGTCCTCGAGTACCTCAGGAAAATAAAAAAAGAAAGAAAAGCGAAACTCTTAATTTATTAATACTTTACATGGTGATTCTAGCCATGAATCAAAACTTAAATGGCCACAGCTCCAGCAATTGCAACTTCCCACAATGCCTGTTTTGAATCTTATTGCTAGTGGGTCTAAATTAAATAATATCTATTGATCGTGATAGGAAGCTTTGGCGGGTGACTGCAATGAAGGGGTAGGAAAGAAATGTCGTTTGTTTTATGAAAAATATTTTTAGAATTTTTATTTTTTAGTGTGAGGCAAATATTGAATTAAAAATGTTATTCACTTAATCTTTAAATAGTGCCAATTTGGAAAAAAAATATTTTAATGAGAGATTATTTTTCTTTATACTTTCTACTTGTAATATTCATCAATACTTTAATTTAAACATTAACAATTACTATTAACACCATCGACACTACCACAATAATAACAACAACCAACACTATAACTATTATCATCGTCTATCGTTACAATCACTATCTTATTGCCATCCCACCATAATCATTTTTTTACAATTACCACCACAATAAAAATAATTCTTAGTATGGTCATTGCCGAATCATCGTTGATGCCATCACTATCGTAATTTAATTATCAATATAATCATTATTTTATTAATATTTTCAGTATTTTTAGCATCATTCAAATATCATTACTATTAATAATAACCATTATTAGTTATCACATCACAATTACCATCACTTTGTTATTAAAATAACCATTTTTACAATCTTTATTTTATCATCTTTTGCACATTAACCATTATTTTACCAGCACTATTAACAACAATATTATCACATCTATTATCACAAATACTACTATTATAACTATTGTCAATTCTATAATTATTATTACAACTATCACCATTTCCACTACTTCTATCACCAACTTCGTAATTTAAAATTTTTTTTATCGTCATTCAAAAGCCATCAATGAAAAATTAATTTATAGGAAAATAATTTTCTTAATACCTCCAAACAATGAGAAATAATTCATTTTAGAAGTGGATATTTTCCACAGGAAAATATTTTCTGGGAAACAAACAGACGCTTGCAGTTTAACATAGCAGGATTCAATGCATAGCCTTGTGGCCGAAACTGTTCGTCTTTTTTGGTCCACCAGTATTTGAGCCTTGGAATCAACTCTGGGACTGTTTTAGTTTTGAGTTATTGCAGGTGACAACTTGCTAGCGAAAAAATTGCTTTGGCTAGACGTTATAGTCCTTGATCATGGTCCAATAACTGACATGCGCAAACCTTTTCTCTTATGGTTGGTCCCGTGCTTTCTCCTGCGCACACGTGTTCAATTATTCAATGCTATTCTCATTTAGCTTGTTTGGGGTGGGTAATTATGATTAAGTTAAAATATTCCATAGGAAGAGAAGAATTATCTTAATCCTCCATAATGGTCTTACATAATTTAATTATAAAAAATATTAATAATTGGATTTATTTGAGTTATTTATAAAATCTACTTAAGCAACAATAATAAAGCCTCCATGATTAAATTAGAGTGGAATCTCTTAAGCAACAATAATATTCTGTGGGTTAAAGTTCTTTGTAATAAATACCATTAAGAGTTTACATCAACACCAAGCACTATTGATTCTCATAATGGATTTGCTCTTTGGAAGGGCATTGACGTGGTTTGTTCTTCTGTTCTCAAGGGTCTTGGATGGTCACTTAAAAATAAAAACCAAAGATTCTTTTTGGTAGATAGTTTTTTTTTTTTTTTTTGCTCATACATTTAAGATTTTTAGTAGAACTAATTTTTTTTTTTTTTTTTTTAATTTCTGGCCAGACAGTTGAGTTGCTTATGTCAGCTTTTTGATTTACCCTGCCTCTTGGGCTCCTCAAACTTGTTTTCTTAAATCATCTGTTTGTGATCATATGACCGCATCAGGTCAATAGCAGTGAGGTAAATTTTGCCCATTTCTTTTGAAATCAATGGTTTTTCGAATAATTCCACAAACAAAATCTACAAATAGAAAGTTGGTTAACAAAAGAATCTCCTAATTTTGGGATTTAACAAAATACAGTAGGAGGCTCTTTTTCCTAAAATTACCCATCCATGACTCTTTTGGGACTTTGCCGTCCTTTTGATTAGAAAAAGTAAAAATCGATATTCATGGCTGGCCATTGTTTAGATTTTGGAATTAGTGATCATCGACTTTTACAAAACAAACTACAGTCAAGAGAGGGGAGAAAAAGGTTTCCATTTGATGGATATTTAGAGAAATTTTATAATACTTATGAAATACAGGAGTTACTTAGTGTTCGTGTGCTTATTTTATTATATTGGTTTATTTTTTTAAAATAAGATAGATATATAAAAAAACATTATATTTAGACTCATAAAAAATAATAAAAAGATTTTCATCTTGGTTCAATTGTTTTTAATTCTCTCTTTTTTACTTATTTTTATATCTATCTTTTTTATAAAATAATTTATATTAATTATTTTTTGAGTATTATAAATTTTATCGATACTTTTCAGTAGAGAGTCAAAGAGACAAACCTTGACAACGAGAGAGAGAGAGAGAGAGAGAGAGAGAGAGAGAACAAAAAAAAAGGGTGAACCACCAATTCTTTAAACAACTCCCAGCTGCATTTGCGACGGCAAATAGGCATGAACTAGAACAGACAGTTGTTCTCTGTATAATGATCTCGTGAATGGATAAGATAGTAGTATCTATTTAGCTGACGAAATTAAAGAAGCTTCTCTCATTACCAAATTCATGCTTAGATTCTTACTTTTCTCCTTCAACTTTTAAGCCACCCAACCCCACCAGCAACCATTTATTAACTCACAAAAAAAGAGAGAAGCAATGGTCTACTTGACAAATCCATTCCCATATGGTCTTCTCTTTGTCCCTTTCAATTGTCATTGCTTGAAGCTACTCTTAATGCTGGTCATAGAACGAATTATTTGTAGAATTTTCATCATTTAGAAACCTAGAACACAACCATACTTCTGACCCACTATGGATCATGATCAAATAAGCATGCATGCCAATTAAATCCATCATGACATTTGCACAATAAGTTTGTTCCTTCATTTTGATGCACTAATTATGAGTCTTCTATAATGACGTTTTTTAATCATTGGAAATATTGCTTGGTTAGTACAATCCCATACATACCATTGTAAATTAATATTTTGTCAAAATTGTTGAAATGCAGTTTTTATAAATTGTGTAAAATTAGCGACTTTATCTTGGAATGAACTTTTTAATGCCGAAGGGTGAGTTAATTCATCTTGCGGTGTATCCTACTTGTGATAACTCACGCCATATCAAAGCCACTGGGAGGCTTTCGGTAGACCAATTAGTCCGACGGAGAAGGGATATATATATATATATATATATAGAAACTGACACTGGATCATGGTTAGCTCACTTTTAGGGATCATACTAAATCACCAAAACTTTTCTATATTGTCAAGTAGCAATGAACCAGAGAATATAATTAAAATTCCTTTTTTTTTTAATGGTTTTTCTTGCCTTAAAAATCTAGATAGTGCCTTGATTGAGTAAATTATAAATTAGTTCCTTTTTTTTTCAAAAAAATTAATTAATGAATCCCTTTTGTTTAAAAAACTAATCATATAATCTTTAATTGTTAAATTTTTGACAAATCTATCAAATTAGAATGTAATATCTAAAATATTCTTTAACATATATACATATCCACGAAAATATGTTTTGGTGCTTGAATAGAGAAAAAAAAGTGAAGATTAATAAAATAAAAAATGTAGATTTGCGGAGAGAAGATTTGAAGAGAAAAATAGAGATTTATTTTGCTGATTAAAAAAAAAGGGGGAAGGAATGTTTGTGAAGAAAAAACATAATGTATAAAAAAAGAATAATTTTGAAACAAAGAATACTATACTAAGACATCTTATTACTATTTTAACAGAAAACTAACGAAGAAACTAAGTTATTGAAAAATTAAAATATAAAAAACTAAATAATTAATTTTTAAAATAAGAAAGACCAATTAATTCATTTATCGTAATAAGAGGGACTAATTTATAATTTACTCTACCTTGGTTTGACCCAAGGCAATTCGATCTTTCTCTGCACGTGAATACTTATAAGTACGGCTGGTGTTTGGTCCCAACGCAGTTTAATTGCCGTTGACAAAGCCAAGAACACGTAAATTCCAGGCAGCTTCTTCACCTGTCAAATGCTTCAATGAGGTTATCTGAGGACCAAGTTACTTGTCATCTAATCTACTTTTTCAATCATCCCCAAAAAATGAATAAATAAAAATGTCCTAAAATTGTGAATTCTATTTGTAGAAACGTATCCAGCAAAACAAAATTGAAAATCCGACCAGATAAATACCACTATTTAAAGGGTCGGAAGCCCACTACGAAGAACTTATAATCGAAAAATAAACAAAATCCTTAGTATCATTCTGTACTAATTTACTGTTCTGAGGAAGAGCTTGTAGGAGATTCGTATCAAGAACATAAAAAGACTTGATGCATCTTTCTTTTGTTTTTTCCTAATTATCCAAAATTCTTAATTTTGCTGCAAGGAAACTGAAAACTACGTCCTAGTCTAGTCATGGTTCTAGAACTCGTTTACTTTTCAAAAGATGGTGCTAGTTACCAACCTAATCATCTAACTCATATCCGTACTCTGTTTTTTCTAATTACTTTCACCCCTTAATATCAATCAGGAAATAGACATAAATAATTTATTTTATTAAAAACATAATTCCATATTTGCCCCTTTCATGATGTCTATAAATTAACCCCATACAATCTCTGCTCTCCATATACATTCCGTGATCCTTTGTCTTTCTAGAAAGCGAGAAGACAAACAAAAAGACAGAAGAATGGCTTACAGGGTCAGCACCGTTTGCATTATAGCCGTTCTCCTCCTCTCCTTCACTTTGACCTATGCTGCCCGGCCGGAGCCAACCTTCGCTGATGTAACTCCGATGGACAATCTACATGGGGTGCGTATGTTACTTAATATTCAATCAACTTGTTTTCATCAACTTGCTCTTGTAGTTTATTGGTTTGCTAAATATTTTTGTTCTTGGTTTGCTGAAGGATAATGCTGAAGTGGAGACAGTTCAGATGGAAGAGAGCTGTGAAGGAGTTGGAGAAGAGGAGTGTTTGATGAGAAGAACACTTACAGCTCAAATTGATTATATATACACACAGAAACACAAGCCATGAAGATGAAGTAGATCAAGTCTTATGCTTTCTTAATTTGTAGTACAAAATCTTTTTAATGGGGGGTTTTCTTGTTTCATTTCTCCAATCTTCCGAGGTTAATATTGTATGTGTATTTGATTTACATGTTCTATTACTATTAGCTGCCACATATGCTGTAGTGTACGGGTAGTCAATTATTTCTGTCTCTTGTGAGGATCTATCGAATTCTGTTCAGTTTTGGTACTTTCTGTAGGGTAAGACCATTTGTTCCGTGCATGCAATAGAGTTGATTACCAATAAATTACGGGTCTAATTACTGGATTTTTGTTTTTGTTTGGTGCCTGGATTTTGTCATCTTATTCGTGACAGCAGGAGTTGTTAATTGAGATTAAGTAATCTAGCTAGTCATGATCAGAAGGTGTTGAATTGTGAAAATTTGAAAATCTTGATGTACCTTCTAGTACAAACCATTTTCTTTTCTCCTTTCTAAATCAGCCGGTGAGGGCTGCACTGATTTCAGGAAACTTGACTAGCCATTAAAAATTTAGAGCTTCGGCTAATTAAGATAAAAATACACTTCATGTGTCTCTACGGTTGAATGAAACCATATTTTAGTCTTAACCAACTTGATACACGGTATATAAACAAAGACTTAATTGGTAATCAATTTAGAAAATTAAAATTTTCATGTAATTAAAGTATGAAAACCCAAGACTTCAACTGCGATTATCATATGAACGTATGATATAACGGGTACATATACTTTATATTAAATTTGCTAGAATGTACTAGAAAAATAAAGAACGTATTGCAATGGGAATTTCATGTAAAATAAAAAATACCGTGTTCTACTAAAGTCCAAACAAATAGATAGTTCTTTTATTAGGTTTCGTAGAACACATATATAAAATATTTCTACCGATCTCTAGACATGCAATAAAGTAGACCATTAACTATGTTTATGTTTCGTAGAACATAACTAGTTTAGAACTAAAACGACACAATTTTAACCCATCCTTTCTCACTTAAACCCCTCGTTCTTTCTACAACTTGAAATCAATCCCAATTCTAAATTAATTGGAAGCCACGTATAATAACTGTACTGAACTGTTCCATCAACATATTTATTAAAGAGTGATGCTACATGTCATGGAATTTTTTTTCGCCAATCAAGCATGAACGTACACATAAAATAAATTTCACATGATTACATTCATGCCATTATATTTTTCTTGAAATCTACGAATGGTGATTTTTATCATTTCTTATTGCTAGCACTGTAAAGCCAGCATCAGGCACATTTAATCTTATCCGAAAGACCCATCGATAAAGATATGTCAGCCACCATGGTCACACGGCTCCATGAAATAGAACCCACACCACTATGTCTTTTTGGTAATATTTCCTCCTCAGTGCTTTTCATTTGACTGCAAACAACTAAAATAAATGCCTTTTTATCTTCTCTTTTGGCACCGTGGTCAATCACAAAGCACTACTGGTGGATGGTCCTTTCGATTGAAAGTAAGAGGTAAGCATGACAACTTCAACACATCATTGTTCAATTTACAACTTGAACCTTGGAGATTTAACCATTGCATAAAATATGGGTTTGTTTCGCATTTTTATCCGAGTTCGACTTGAAAACAAATTTAATCTGATCAATTCACAGAAAATGCATGTCTAGAAATACTCTAATAACCGAGGGAAAAAAATATTCAAGTTGTGCTAATAGCCAAGTAACAAATGCAAATGTATGAAACAAAAATCGTACTAATGTATTAAAAAAGAAGAAGAAGAAGAAGAAAGTGTGAAATGGACCATGTATCTACACGGACAAGAGGTAATGCGGTATGCAGTTGTTGACCCTAATTGAAAGTCCACGCAATTTTGAATGTCCTCTGAGCAGCCATATTATTAATTACCATGGATTTCACAAGCATGATTCATAGCTTGCCCTTGTAGGCATGATTGTGATGCCATGATACTTGACCAAGTCGTGCAAGTGGTTGGTGTAAATGTCACCTTAGCACATAAAAGTTTCCTAGCACTTTGTCTAAGAATGTCAAGGCATCATATCATTTATGCCAGAAAGTAAAGTAAAGTTAAAAAAAAAATTCCCTTCATTTTTTAAATTATGGGTACGTGTTCAGCATTCTATCAGAATTGGGTTTCATTTTTTCTATCAGATTTTAGGATGTTTTCGTGGTATAGTAGTCTTGTGCATTAATACCATGAGTTTATAACTCAAAAATATTAGCTGCAGTTGCATTAAGAAATAGAACATTAAGTAGATAATCCGATTGGCGTTTCTCTCCAAAAAAGAACAAAGAAAGAGAGAGAGAAGAAACGGTTGTGCCATTGGCCATTGCTATCTCCCAGAATAAAGCCACACTCATTGATTTAATGGGCCTAACTAAATGTATAGCCATGAGTCCAGTTCAAGGTCCTCAAAAATGCCCCAAAATAGAATAGGCAAGGCCCTAATCATCAGATCGTAAATCAAGTCCAGGCTAATTGTATAAACTCCATAATTTGATACGCATCCACAGATCACGGATGCATCTAGCTTCAAGCCTGTAGGGCTCTGAAGAACCTCCATCTTCCCTACTGGCGCCAAAACTCCATATATTTCCCGCCACGAATTAACTCATCTCTCCATCTTCCCTTAAAAAGGTTTTGAAAATAAAATAACCCAAAATCCCTACAACCCAGCTCCAAATCTTAGGAAAGAAAACGAGAAACCGAACTAAATGAGGAAAGAAAAGCAACATTGGCTCCTCAAAACCGAGCCAGGAAAGTGGTCATGGGATGACCAAGCTTCCAATGGAGGCATATCCAATTGGGATGGAGTGAAAAATAAGCAAGCCCAGAAGAACCTCAAGGCCATGAAACTCAATGACCTTTGCTTCTTCTACCACTCTGGGGCCAACCAGCGCCGTGTTGTTGGTGTGGTTACTGTAGTGAAAGAATGGTACGAAGTAGGTGCCGAAGGATTGGTGGATGTCAAAGCAGTGGGGGAGATGAGAAGGCCATTGGACTTGAAGGAATTGAAGGGTGATGAAGGGTTAAAGGGTTTTCAATTGTTTAGGCAACCTAGATTGTCAGTTGTGCCGGTTTCACAGGAGGTTTGGGAGAGAGTTTGTGAGTTGGGAGGTGGGTTTGAAGGGGATGGAAAAGCGGATGTGGATGATGATGATAATGGCGAGGAGCAGTAGATGGTGGATTTTGGTTCATGTAATTAAGTCTTAGGTGTATTCTATGTTTAGTTTTGGTCGAAGTATGGTGCTAATGCCAAACTGCTTGTTTAGATATATAAGCATCATCTAATTAGTCTTAGATGTTTTGGGCTCTTTTGGGGGAAAAAAGAAAAGAAAAGTAAGGCAGTGCCTGTTCGTTGCCATACTCTTGAATTTTGGCATTGTATATGAAAGTGCAGAAAGTAGAAGTAATGGTATGGGCAATTACTGTTGTTTTAATGATCGGTGATTGTTGGTTTTATAGTGGAATTGACACATTGCGCATCCTAAAATATGGGTCAACAAGCTCCAATTCAGAATATCAAGCCATTAACTTGCGGTCAAATATTAGATAATTATCCGAGTCGAGTATTCAAGTGTATGTTTCTTACCAGGCAAAACCATTTTGGCCATGGCCCTTACAGCAGATCATAGTTCTGGCATTTTGTCAAACGCCTTGCAAGCATGCTAAAAATCCTTGACATGCTGATTCAATTAGAAACTTAACTAGATGGTTTCCCCACGTGCAGGCCGACGATATTTATTATTGTTATTTTTTTACAATATTTATTATGTTGTTGGATAACAAAAATATATTAAATTAAAAATAAATTTCATCTAATTTTAATCAAAATTTGCATTTATTTTTTTGTTTATTTTTTAATAATTTTTTTAGTTAGAAAAACGATTTAATTTTTTATGTGTTTATTCTTAAATAAAAATTCATAATAATCTAAATATAAAATTTTAAAAATATATTTTAATATGTTTTATAACATTGTATTAAATAAATAAAATAATATAAAAACCTGTATAAAAATTAAGAATTTTTTTTTAATTCTTATTTAATATTGATGAGAATAATATTTTTTTGAAAGTATGTACATTTCACATATATATATATATGTGTGTGTGTGTTTACAAAATAATAAAAAATATTAGTATAAAAAATATATTTAAATTATTAAACAGCTCTTCTAAAACATTATTTCAATTATTTTTGAAAAAAATAATAGTTGGTGTTATGAGTCTATAGTTAATTTTTAATAAAATCAATAACTTTAATATATATTTTTTATACATCATGATTGTACTAATTAGGTTAGAGTGTACAACATAAACCGATTTTTTTAAAAAAAATTAAGTTATAAAAAATATATTAAAGTTAGTACGATGCAATAAGAAAAAGCAACAAAATTGATTTCAATAAACTTTAATTATATAAAAAATAAGTTAATAAAACACGTGAATTCTATTTTTAAAATTAGATTATATGAAAAATAAGCAAATAAAAAAAACTTATTCAAAAATACATACATAAAAGAAAATAAATCATATTTATTAACAAATAAAATTACATAAAAAGGAATAATAAAAAATTAATCTAATGAAAATTTTTATAAAAAATAAAAAATTAAAGAAATTAATTTTAAATAATAAAATTAATACCATCTAGTATTTATATGTATTCTAATATATATATATATATATATATTTCATAATCATCAACTTATATATAAAAAAAATGATTGGTTTTTCATTATTTTTAACCCAATTCAATATTTTAAAAAAATCAATTAGTGGAAAAAATCAAAGAAAAAAAAATAGCAATTAATTTTTCATAATTTTCACACCCAATTTAATAATAAAAAAATATAAATTGGTAAGAAAAAATAAAGGAAAAAACGAAAAAAGAAAAAAAGAAAAAAGAGAAAAGAGGCAGGCCCGTGGCCCTATTGCAAGCACAATAGCCTAATGCAGCAGGCCAACCGATGAAACAGCCCTGAGGATGAAACGGCCCAGAGGATTAAAATTTCATTTGAAAACTTCAGGAAGCAAAATGAAGCGTAATGTAAAATTTGAGTTTAAATATTAAAAAAACAGTTGAAAAATCACAAAAATGTCAATCTTATCTACTGTTTATGAACAGTAACTTATGAGTAGATGAACATTAAAAATCATTATTCAAAACATTCACCTCTTTTAGTTATTTTTTTAACTAGTTGGCTTCTCATACTGTCATCGCAGGTTGAATTAAACTTATTTATTTTAGTTTGATAATATATGTTATGTTTTTGATCAATAAAAATATATTAAATTAAAAATAAAATTTCATTTAATTTTTTATAAAAAATTTGCATCTGTTTTTTTGTTCATTTTTTAATAATTCTTTTAGTTAAAAAAAACATGATCCATTCCTTTTTATGCATTTATTCTTAAATAAAAATCCACGATTATCTAAATATAATTTTTTTTTGAAAAAAATATTTTAATATTTTTTTATAACATTGTATAGAAAACATAAAATAACATAAAAACATGTATAAAATTTCAAATATTTTTTTTATTCTTGTTTAATACTAGTGAGAAGATTGTTTTTAAAGTATGTAAATCTTATTTACAGAGTAATGAATAATATTAGTATAAAAAAATTATATTTGAATTATTAGACGGTTCTTTCAAGACATTATTTTAATTATTTTATTTAATTAAAATATAAAAAATAATAACACTAGTTGTTGTTATAAGTGTAGATGCATAATTAATTTTTAATAAAATTAATAACTTTAATATTTTTTATACATCATGACCGTGTTCATTGGGTCAACGTATTCAACATAAATTGACTTTTAAAAAAACTAATTTGTAGAAAATATATTAAAATTAGCAAGGTGCAATAAAAAATAATAACAAAATTGATTGTATAAAGAATAAGCAAATGAAACATGTGAATTTTATTTTTAAAATTCGATTATATAAAAAATAAGAAAATAAAAAGCAACTTCCAAAAAAAATTATTCGAAAATCCATATATAAAAGAAAATAAATCATATTTATTAAGAAATAAAATTATATAAAAAAGAATAAAATATTATCCGATAAGAATTTTTATAAGAAATGATAAATTAAAGATATTAGTTTTAAACAATAAAAGTAATATGATCCAATATATATTTATTATAAAATAAAAAAATATAACACATATTTCATAACCGTAAGTTTGTGTAAAAAAAAAATAATAAGTTTTTCATAATTTTCACTCTCAATTCAATAATAATAAAAAAAAACATAAATTGGTGAAAAAACCAAAGAAAAAATATGAAAAGTAGAGAAAAAATTATAATTGATTTTTCATAATTTTCACATCTACTTCAATAATAAAAAAATATATAAATTGATGAGAAAAAGCAAATAAAAAAACCAAAACAAATAAAAAAAAGAGGAGGCAGGTCTGCATGCCTGCCTTAAGGCCCAATGCAGCAAGGCGATTTATAACAGTCCAGGGGATTAAAATTTGATTTGAAATATGGAGAAACGACATGTCGTTCGGGATGGCTTTCATTACCACTACCACATCAGTCTTGTCTTATATTTTTAGATTGCTTAAACTCTTTTGTCCAAGTGTTTTGAGGAACAGAGGCAAAAACCCTCTTCGAACGAACCCAGAAATACTTTAGTCTCCCTACAGTGTTTTATATCTTAAAAGTTAGCTTCTTTTTTTTTTCCCTTGCAAATGCAAGCATTAAAGCCAATACAACCTTGTTTTACCAAGTTCTTCAACCGTCAATTGCTTAAACCCTTAAACCTCCGTGCTTTCTCAGCATCATCAGATGATTACTCCAAACAGTCACGTGGTGGCCTTCCTCGCTTCTTCTCTGAACAACTCCCTGCTTCTAAGGCACTGTATCTCTCTCTCTCGCGTTTGTTTGTGTGTGTAAATTTGTGTTTCTTTATTTACGAACATGGGATGCTATTAGTTCTTTTGTCTAATAATCATCCTTTTCAATTACTTCTTGGAAAGATAGAATGATGGTTTACGTTCAATATTCTGCTTATAGTTTTGGTATTATTAATTTCGTATTAATTGAGATTTGTCTGCAGGGTGGTGTTGTTCGTGTACAAGGCGATGAATTCAGGCATATGACTAAAGTTTTGAGGTTGAGCACGAATGATAGGTACCCCTTTAATCATCATTGCTTGCTTGCCACTTGCATTTATGTACATTATTAGTTCTTTTAAATATGATTGAGGTTTCTCATCGGTATACTGATTTCACTGTTGAAGATTTAATGTCTGTACTTGAGGTAGGGTGGGAAGGTAGTTTAGGCAATTCATTGCTGCTGCTGTTGTATTCTTAATCATTTTAGGCAGCAGGGTTTTCTCAAATTTGTTTTGTAAATGCATTTACATTATTTTATTGTTGGTTTTGTTCATATGATTACATTTGCGGTTCAGATAATCCAAATTGTTTGAACTCTGCTCTGGCAAATAATTTCTAGTGGAACATAGCATGCTTGCTTTTAATCTCAAACATTTAAAGTTTTCTACATCTTAAAAATGGTGATTTTCCAAACAATTGAATGCAAGGGTAGAGCTCTTCAATGGGAAAGGAGGTTTAATTGAAGGGTTCCTAGAGAGAATTGACCGTACTGGACTTGATTTTGTGGCATTGGAAGATCCAAAATTAGTTTGTCCTCAGAGCACAAAGTGGCATGTATTTGCTGCATTTGGTGAGTTTTAGCAGAATCTGTGCATAAAATAATTACTTACAATCTTTTAAATTCATCTCAGTCTTAACATTTTCAAATTTCTTCTCCTTTAGGTACTCTAAAGGGCGATCGAGCTGACTGGCTTGTTGAGAAATGCACAGTATGTCTTAAATGCACAAACTAATAACTTTTCTGCTTGAATTATAACCATTTCCCCCTCCTTTTTGTAACTGTTAAGTCCTCTGATTTTCTCTTCCTTAGGAACTTGGAGCTCATAGTGTGACCCCTCTGCTGACAGAACGTTCTCCGTCAATCTCAGAAAATCGAGTGGACAGGTTACGACGTGTCATTTTAGCAGCGACTAAACAGAGTAAATAATTGCTCCTGCAATATTTTTCAGATACTCTCCTGTTAAATTTCGTTGGGTTATGGAGGTTCTTATCAGTTTAATTTTGGCTCTCTGATCAAAAGTTATTTGCGCATTTTCTTTTAACCTTACCTCTTTACTAGGTCAGCGGTTGCATGAAATGATTCTAAATCCTCCAACTAAAACTGTTGGCCTTTTGCCTATAGTGAGTTGTTCTTCCCTACCTTTTGTGCTTAAAAGGTTGAGCAGCATCTTGGTCCAAGTAGTACAGGATTTACTGGTGTTTGTGGAGCTTTTTGGTGGGTTAGGATTTACCAGTGTTATAATTGAAGGGACAGGGAACCATCCAAGTCATTCCTTATCACTTATTCCATGAATTTGATTCTGTTTTTCTTCTTTTTTTTAATATGTTCCTAATGACATTGGGAAAGATCATGATAAAGGCTCAATAACATAACCCAACCTGGCATGACTCATAAATACCCAGGATATAGGAAAACATAAAAGCATAACTAGATTAGACCAACCTTAAATCAAAGCTTGGACAACAATCAAGAACATTCTCTATTTGAATAAAATGTATCGTTTATTGGTCAAGGGTTCAAATTGGTCATCTCTTAACCTTACCATGAAACAGATTTACAGGCATTGCTTTTCTTTACTGAAACCACACGAGACAGCATAATAGACTTTGTTGCCATTAATATGCAAAGGAGTGTTTGAAAATCCATGAACGTTTTTTTTTTCACCTATCACTACTATGCGAAGCTTAACTTTGCTTTTTGTGTTATGTAGCTTGCACAGTCAAAGCTATCTTTTCTGGCAACAGCAGAAGCTACTCCTGTTGTTAGCGTATTGACTTCATCAAGAAAAGAATCAAGTGGATTGATAATAGTTGGACCAGAAGGGGGTTAGTACGCATCCTCTGCTAGTTCCTATTTATCATAATTTGCTTCTGCTGCATGCCTGGGCAAAAACTACTTAGTATGCTAGTCTCCATTGTTTTTCTTTTTCAGCTGTCTTTGTTCCATTTTTTTTTTTTTACTATGTTGTCAGTTGGTTTAATTTGTTGGGAGGTGCTTATGGTTTTTGAAAATATTGATGGTACCAGTACCCATATCTTGTGGCTTTATTTCTTTGATATGTTGTAATGGTTGCTATGCATGGTTCCCACTCTACCCTTTCACCCCTTTTTTTTTTGCAAAGTTATCTTGTGGCTTCTATGTCTTTCAGATTTCACTATATTGTCACATCTTTAGCAATCTGTCATGAGATATGTGTACTTCAAAGGTTCTTTCTTTGTCCTCCTTGAAATCTTAAACTGATTTTGTCCTTCCCAATTACTTATCACTTCTCAAGTTGAATTCCTCTTTTGCCGATCCCCTATCAGAAAAAATTTATTTGTTGTCTGCTAATCACGTGCCTCATACCAACCATATCCATATTCCTGGATTAAGTTGCATAAATAATACGAATTTTGTAATCTTGATTTCACAGTTCCATTTCTAATCAAGAAGTTCTTGTTGTGACAGATAGTTATTCTGTTATGATATTTTGATGAAACAGTATTCTAACTAAAATGCTGCAAATTTAACTCTAAATTCCTCAGCATTGAAATTTATGTTTTCTTTTGGACAATAAAGTCAATTGGTGTGGTTTTATATTGATGCGTGCTTTAGACTTCACGGAGAAAGAAGTGAATGGGATGATGGAAGCAGGGGCAACACTTGTTGGTCTTGGACCACATCGTCTACGTGTTGAAACTGCTACAATGGCACTTTTGGCAACTCTAATGCTGTGGTCTGACTCCCAGTAGTATCGAGTTCTTAGTCACATTTGCAAGTAAGCATTTCACAACAACTTGTATGTCACACCTTGCTCTTCTTAGAATCTCTCAGCTTTGATGTATCTTTGGCAAACCTGATTCAGACTAGAAAGTGATCTCACTTTGATCCAATTTACAGTATGACTTAATAATAATCTACACTCAATGCATGCTACGTAATTATCTCAAATCTTTGTAAAACTAGGTTAACTTTTAAGTTGACTGTTATCTTTTGCAATCAGCATGCTTTGTGTTGTTTGCATTTTAAAACTATAATATGTGTGTTATTTCTCCTCATGCAGGCCAATGATGGATTTTTTTGACTATCGATGAAGAATTGTTAACTTTTGGTGTTATCTAGGTCAATAGTCATCTTCTTAATGTCACATCCCACGCCAATTATAGGCTTCTCTTCAATTTTGTTCAAACATGCTCCTTTATCAGTTAAGGGCATTTCTATTTGCTCAAACTCTCATGACGTGTGATATATTTGTGACCATTTTTTGATAATCTTGCTTCGATTAGTGTCATGTGGGAAAGTGGCAGTTTCCTTGCTATACTATTTTATTTTATTTAAGGAAGCTTCGTTGTTATTTTATATGCTGGAAAAGTTGATTATAAGTGCCTCATTTTAGTGTTCAGCGCTTGGACATGACTGGGAGGTACATTTTATAAATTCAACTCTCTATAAAAAGAAGTGTTTTATACAAAACTTGGCCTGTTTTAATTGCCAAGTCAATGTATTGGATTGGGGCTAAAATATCTTTTGTCCTGTTTTATAATGAATACTTGAAATATTTAGCTGACTTCAGTGATTTATCTCATGTTTCTTTATTTGAATCAGCTGAAGTTCCAATAGAATTGTTTCTCTGTTATGCTTGAATATCCTGAAAAGTCTCTGAGCTGATCTTTTTATGAATTTGAGTTTGCTGTGGTAGTGACGTTTGGAAAAAGATGTATATAGCATGATGCCCGTAGCCTAGTCGGTTGGGGTTGTGGCAGCTGTACATTACTAGGGGAGGTCTTTGCCACCACATTGCTATATATGAACTTTTATTTTATACACTATCTTAAAAAAATGATAAAACGTGAGTGGGCATATTGACATTGAGATTCCCCAAGTCTTGCGGTGCATTATTATTCTATGCCGACCAAATTATGGTCCGCTGCTGCAATGGTTTATGAATAATTTTGGCAGGATAAAGCATTTATATGTTGCACATGCTTTCCAAAGTCTAAGCTTCTTCTTTGTTTTTTTTTTTCCCCCCAATTTCTGCATGCCATGGGATGTTGTGAGTTGCGAGTCTGCTCTCTGAGAGCATTTTTAACGTACTTGAAGTGAGTTTGCACATGCTTACCCTCATGGTGGGATCTAGGGGCTTTTTTTCTTCTTTTGTTTCCTGATATAGTTTGTCAAAACTCAAAATTGCTCAGCTCTTGCCAGTGATTGGTTCAGTGGTTCGGTACTCAAGCTAAAGCCGTGGGAGTTGAAGTGCCCAGTTTCAAATCCCTCTAATCCCTGGTAGCGAGAAAAAGCAAGAAGTTGCTTACCATCTCATTAAAGGTTTTTCTTTTAAGAATTTGCGGACTACATGAATTCTCTTATTAGGGCTTGAAGTTTATGCACCTCGTTTTGGCAGCCGTGCTATTCCACATCATATAGAACGCTTTGATGATTAAGGTGTTTGTGGTTTAATTATAATTTATTTAATTTTGAAAACCATCTTAAAATAGGATTTCTCCTTACAGAGTCAAAAGTTTGAGCATTAATATACATTTTTCTCGTTTTCCATTCTTGCTCTAGTTTCTCATTTTGGATATTGAATTGAGCAACTTCTTACCCCAGTTGCTGTATATTTGGCTGGATTCCATTCTCGAATCTGTTGTCTAGGATCTTTTGAGCAGATGAATTATTCAGGATGGCCTCTTGTACCTTCATTTATGGCTCATTTGGACAGATAAGCATTGACTCTTACGTGGATTTATATCCCTTGCACGTGTGATTCGTCTAAATAATTGAATAGATAGATGACTGTCTGATTGAATTAAAAAAGAAAAGAGATGACAGTTTGGGATCATATGCGATATTCGTGCAAGGAAAATGCGTTTCAGCTACCTTATTAAATTCTTTAGTCAAACAATAGTAGTTGTATTGAATAAGGAATTCTCTACTATATTCAATCCAAAGAGCAAACTTTTTTTTCTTGGTTCACAAGGAGGGTCGAGCCTAATTGATCTGGCTGGAGGCAGGAATGTTACTAGAGTTTTGGCTCTAGGGGCAAGCAAACTTTTCTTCCTCTTATAGTATTGGTTTGGCTGGTCATAGAATAAGACAACTATGATTTCAAAAAAAGGGGAGAAATGAATAAAAATAAGCAGGCTTAATATCTCAATTTTGTCAACCCATACTGCAATTCAAAATGGGAAGCAAATGTTTGACAATACTCAAAGCATCATTTAAATTCTGTTGAATAATGTGCAGTGAGAATGCATGCACGATAAATACTCCACCTTATTTCTTGGAAAATTAAGGGTCAGATTTGAAAATTATACTGATTTGAAAATTATACTGCCATTCTCTCATATACTGCTGAAGTCTGTTAGTTTTTTCGAATATGATTGTCCTTATCGAGCATGCAAATATGAAATCAAAAGTTGGCCCGGAAAATGGACATGAAATTCAAAAAGTCCTTGCAAAAATGGACCCCTTGAGAAAGAAATGCCGTATGGGTTGTTGTTATCTTTTCCTCTCTTGATCATAATTCATTAATCAATTTGTGATTATGAACTCTAAAGTCAAATTTGAATAAATTTTACTCCTGCTATGGAGGTGTAAGGTGTTCGCTCACTCAAACATAAGCATGACCAACCTGTGAGTTGTGAGGGATTGGATGTGAAAGGAGAAACCAAGATCATGAATATAGGAAGTAGGAAATTAAGTTGTGCATGAAACAAAGCCAATCCTGTGTAATTTTTTTTTTGTTCAACAGTAAAGATATTATTGGACCAACTTTCGTGCATCTCAAAGCTAATCTCTTCTTAGATGTTGTTAAGAGGCACTCCATAATGCACGACGTTGAGTATTCCGAGAATAAATTTTCGAAGTGCTAGTTACAAAAATTAAATTTTGAACCTAATCTACAAATCAATATCTATTTATCGACGAGCTAATATATTATTCAAGCCGGTGTAATTTAATATGTCCTCTCTAGGCTCTATCTAACCATTAACTATACATTTAGTTGCGAGGATTTAAATTCCTTTCTGTCTTGAGGAAAAAGAAGCTGAACAATATTTATAATCTCATCATTAATTTTAAATTTAATGATCTATATTATAGAGAGAGAGAGAGAAAAAAATAATTGTTTGCAACATGTGCTAAATAATATTAATTTATTTTGAATTTGATGGTTTGGATTAAACAAAGAATACATATGCATGGATTTAAATCCTCTTGTAATATTAGACTTATAATCTGAAAATCACGCTATTACTAATATCTTTTCCATTTCCAAATCAAAATGTGAGAATGCTTTTTTTATAATATGTATTTTTTAAAATACTGGTTTATTATTGGTTTCAACTTTTTTTATTTTATTTTATTAAAAATATTGGTTTTTAACTTTTAAAAGCATAATAACACTCATAAAAATCCTAAGGAAATTGTTTTGGTTTGACCGAGATAAAAGTTTAATTTTTATTATTTACAAAATAATTAACTGTAATTATTCTTAATGATATTGGATTTAGATTAATATGATTAAAAAATAGTTTAGTGTTCGACAAAAATTAAATGTTTGTGATTTTTTATTTTTTTAAAAGACTTGGAAACCAGTGCCTTTTAGCTACTGTTAGCTAACCCACAATAAATAGTACTGCTACCCATCAACAACTTTATGGATGCAACTGTTAATAGTGAGAAATGTGCCACATTAATTGCTCAGTAATCCTCCCGGTTGTTATGGATTAATGAATGTGTTACCTGGTACGTTTTTCCAGGCTTTGGGGGAACGGACTTTTTGGAGGATGCCTTTTTCGTTGCTACGGTTGTATTTCTTCTCTTCTGTCTTAATCTTTGTGTCTCTCTCGTGTACCATCAAAAGGCGTCTATTAAATCATTAAATTTGAATTAAATGAATTATTTTCGTTGTTTTATTTATATTGTGTCATTGTGTGTGTATTTTTCTGTATTTTGCATAAATTAATATATTAGTTTTTTCAGTTATGTTACGGCCTAGAGATAATTTATGTGATAAAGAGCGGCAGCGTATAGAGTTTGTAATAGAAATTAGGTTCCAGCATCAATTATTTTACATTAGAGAGAAAAAGAGAGAGAGAGAGAACAAGTTGGACTTGAACTGTTTTTTTTTTTTTTTCTAATGCCAAAAGTCAACACTACCTGCCATATATTAATCACAAATGATTTATTGTGGACCAGAAGGTCCATGTAAAATACTAAAGCGTTGTTCGTTATGCTATGATAAGACCAGCTAAGATTGCATTTCAAATCCATGATCCTTTTGTTTTGATTAAAAATGAAAAGTTGAAACTTTAAATTTTTTTTAAAAAAGGAAATATGGAAGAGTTTTTTTCTTCAAATTGTTGCAGCGTATTAAACTAGAAACTCATGGAAGGGTATGAGTATATTGGCCTGTTTTATGAGAATTTCCACTACGATGGGATAACAAAATTCATACTCATGGATATTTTTATTGGTTACATCTTACAAAAGTACAGAGTGATGAAGTTCAGATATGGATTTATGACTCGAAAATAACGTCTCCTTTTCTTATAATTAAAATAAAGTCTCTTTACCATACAATTAAATGACAAATATTTTATATAAACTGATGAATCATCCACTATGTTTTTAGTATTTGACCCATTTTTCATTTTACCATAAATTTTCCCTACTTTTGTAGCAAAAAAATAAAGAGGTGCATCCTAAAAACAGATGCATCTTAAATACACCCCGTGCCACTCCGGTACCAAAAGTCAGAAAAAAAAATGGAAAAACAAGTGGTAAACCCGTAATAATCTCCAAAACTATGTCCCGTATTTGACCAACATGTCAATATAAACATGAAGCGACGCCCAACCTGAATACAGGGTCACAAACCACTTTAAAAGCAAAGCAGAAGCTTAACAAAGCCAAAGCAGCAAATGTTATAAAGAAGAGAACCCAATTTTTCTTTCATTTTTTCTTACAAAACTCGGTGATCTTTTTTTGCTTTTCGAGAGTGAATCCAGATGGCAATTCAGCTAGAGAATCTGGTGCAGTCTATCAAATCAAAAGTTAGAGCCTTGAAGAAGTCCAAGAAACCATACGTCAAGATGGACAAGAGTGCAAGTGTTAGGGTTGAGATCCGTAGCAGAAAAGCAAGAAAACTTATTGATAAGACTCTTCAAGTTGCTGATCGTCCTGGAAAACGCACCATTACTTAGATTTCTCTTCAGCTTTTCCTCTCCAATAAAGGTCCTCTAAATCTTTGTATAGGTAACTTTTAGATTTTTTTTTCTTGGGTTTTTGGTGGTTTCTTTTATGTGCCTTCCGATTCTGTGTTTTTTCAGATGATAAAACCTTTTTAAGGTGGGGAACCGTTTCGGGTTTGGCTTGACAGAATGTTTTGTTTTATGTAGCAAACAAAGAAAAGCTTACATATTTTACTTGTTGTCATTTTTTTTTTTTTTGGAGATTTGAATGAGATTCTGATGTTGGTTGTAAATAGGAATCAACAAAGAAAAAACTTAATGAATAGCCCATCTATAATCTATACGAAACAATAGTTTTAAAGAATTTTTGTTTCGTATTAACAAATAATAAGTTTAATTTAGATTCCATCGTTTGCCCGCAGTTTACCATTTTAGTATTCTGTGTTTTACTTCTGTCCGTATAGAATAAGTGAATCACACCGACAATCTGCGCGCCCATGTTATATTAGTAGGTCAGTGCTGTGGTGCTATGTGTTTGCCACAAGCAATTGTTTCTTGCAACTGTCAAGACTGTATAAAAGTGAAAAGGGAGCATGTGAGTGAGAAATAAGACAATTTCTGTTAATTTGAGTGAAAGCAGTGGCCGAGTTTGCCTTCGTAAAAGTCAACTTAGGGTTTCATGGCCAAGTGGAAAGTTGGGATTTTGGGCCATTTGGCTCATCCACAATAAAAAGGGCGTTTTAGAGTTAGGAGCATTACACGGATCTGAAGGATCAAGTCTTCTCTATGCTTTGTTTGAGAAGGAAGGGAGGAGAATTTGCTCTTTGTTTGATCATGTAGAAACCCAATCGGCCTAATCCATTATTTATATCCTCTGTTTTCATCGATTTATCAAATAAAATAATATGAATAAAATAAAAAATAAACAAGCTCAATTAACTGAATTCATAAAACATGAGTTTGTTTAACAAATTAGTAAAAACACGAGGTGCAAATAATAGTTTTAACCAACCCAATCTCATCGGAATAACCCTGTTGTACCAAAGCTCACCCTCAACATCACTAACCAACCCATTCTCATTGGAATAACCCTACTGTATCAAAGCTCACCCTCAATCATCACTTCTTCTTCTTCTTCTTCTTTTAATTCTAGAGGACTTTTATTTTATTTTAAATTTCTTTGTTGATTGGAATTAGTTTAAAAGTTTAGGAATGTTTATCAGTACTACCAAGAAAAAACAGAATCTCTTCTAATTCTATTAAAATGGCCAACAACAAACCAAGATGTTTTATTAGGAGAAAAAGAATTTGAATTTATTTGTTTATGTGTGCTCGTGGTTTCCTCCGCGTGTGAATTAGAAACTATTTTATACATGCGCCAAATTAAGGTCCAATTCTTCCGTTCTTTTAGATTACAAAATTACCACAACTCTCGTCGTCCCAAAATGTTATTTTATTTGTTTGAGGGACGGGTTCGATCCGGCGGGGTTTAGGGCGGGGCAAATAGGATAAAAAAATTATCTTTTTTTTTTTCGTCTCGTCTTATTCCATTCTATTATTAAATTTTAAATTATAACAAAAAAAAATGATAGTTTATTTAGAAAATAAACTCTAAAAGTCATTAGTCACAAGTTTTATATAGTGTATAATTATAATTTTTGGGATGAAAATCATGAAATGAGGTAAATAGAGCGAAGCGGGCAAATACCATCCATGTCTTATCTCTATTCACAGGGCACCTCGTTCCCCGATCAATGCAGAGAACTTCGCATTGACCGAAGCGAAACGAGACAAATTATCATCTCTATGAAGAGTTTTGCTTCAAAAGAGACTTTTAGAATAGGTAAAGAGACATTAGGTATGAACAAGAAATATTAATATAGTATAACAATTAATTATCATCTTAAGTTTTTTTTAAAAAAAAAGAATTTTTGTTTTTTTACGGAGGAAGTAATATATTTTAAACATTAGTGTGCTCTGGCTTTTCAATATGCAAAGACTTCCAATTTTTTATTGAGGGATGCAAGTAAATGGTTTCACATTTTCTTAAGGCGTCTATTTTATTTGTTAAGCTAAGGTCGAGTGAGACCAAAAGTTCAGGCTTATTAAAATTCACTTGGTATTTATATAATCGGGTGAATTTGTCAAGAAATCAACTCATGTTAAAGCAAGCAACACATTGCTGTCAATGACTTATATATGCTTCATTGATTCAGAGGGTATTTACGAATTAGTTTTCCAATCCGTAATAGAGGGTCTTTAGAATTGACTTTATGACAGTGGATGAGCTTAGGTTAAGCTTCAAAAGAATGAAAAAGACCTATCAACAGTTGAAACAAATACCGTGGAGGTTAAGTGAAAGGTACAACATTGACTGCCAACATCAAAGTCATGGTTATTGGTGTTGAATCAAACCCTAATCGGAGCTAGCTTAAGCTTGCCTTTGTTTCCAATTTCGCCGGCTATAGATTTACATATATTTTGCGTGTAGTCGATAATAATATGAAACTATTGGTTTGACTAGAGAAAAATTTGGTTATGGATTGCATCCTAGCACTATGTTGTGGGGAGCCACTGCACAATGTTGTATGTTCTACGGAAAAGCTTGAAGTCTTGAACAAACTAACGAATTTAAACGCTAATAAAGAACAAAAGTTGGATCTCAAAGATGCCAAATATTCAAGATAAGCATTTTGGAAATTTAGAGATTGCAATTTCATCCCCATCCCACTTGATTTCATGGATTTATTATTGTTTTAGGATTGTGATTTTGGTTATCTAAAACGTATGAATACCCCCTATCAAGTGAATGTCAAGAGTAGAGGCCTAATTAACAAATCTGGTTTATCGCGTCTTTTTACAATTTCACGAACCTATTGGCAATAAGAAATAAGAGCAACATGGCAACCTAATATATACGTAAGCAAAGGGCCATCTCATAAAATAATGGTCCAGCTATTTTGAATGGACCCATCCGAATTAAAGAAGCACGAACAGAAAATGAAAAGCCCAACAAAGTTAGGCCTGAAATTGTGAAAGACATGATCCATGTTGGCATCAAAACCAAAATTGACATCTTAGAATGCAACAAAAACAAACGGGCACAGCTACCGCAGTGACAAGCTCAAAGGCAGGCAAAAAAAAAAAAAAAAAATTGAAAAAATGAAAAAATAAAGAAGATGAAGAGGGTCCACAACAAAAAATCTCTCAAAAGAGACGGTCACACATAAGGATGATTGCCGAAAAGAAAATCTTAAACTTTGGCTTAAGTGGGATGTTAAAGATCCAACATATATATGGTTCATGCAGCTAACTCACCGGAGTTTTGATTAGATTCTCTGTTTTTTTTTAATGCATCAGTAAAAACTGATTGCAAATCATTCTTCCCTACTTAAACTTTGAAGGAAGACACCAATTAATACTTCCTACTTAGCAAGATGAATTCTCTAACGATAAGAAAACTTATCATTAAAAAGAAAACTTTTAATTTAAATTTTACTGAAAAAGAACTTAACAAGTAATACTCTGCATGTCCCAATAATTCATGTAATTCCGAAGAATAGATTTTTAATTTTTTTTTTTTTCCGATGTTCCTGACTCCTAATTAGTATATTCCTATGAACAAGATAAAACAACGATATTTTTTTTTCCTTAAAATTCAATTGGACATGATAAATAATAAAGAAAACATATTTCGTGTTCTTTTCTTTCTTTCATATTATATTATAACAAACTTTAGAAAAAAATTCTAAATGAATTTTTTTTTATTAAATTAAAATTATAAAGAGAAGAAACACATAATATAAAGAAAAATAACAAACAAGTGGATTATCATACATGTATTTCATATAGAAAAATGAATATGTCAATTTAGTTAGTACTATATTCTTGTATTTTATTATATATACTCACTTAGATAAGTATAATATTTATATAGAAGTTATGATAATTTTAAGAGATCTTTCTATTTAAGATACATTGTATAATAATAATTTCTCCAACGATTAGCAATTTTTCTTAGCAGCAAAGGCGTTATTAGTTTGGCTATTAAAAATGTATCCGTGGCACCAATGTAGAGAACTGCTAGTCTCAAATGATGATGATGGGTACAAGCAACTCAACTGGTTGATTAATTTGGGATTGCGCCTTTGCAAATATAAGTTGCTTATTAAATCGTCATTTTCTTGTGACTAATGCTAGTACTTCACCTTAAAGTCGTAGGTAGTTCAAACCATTTTACTATATAGCATCCATTATTGAACTTTTGAAGCTAATTGTAGACTTTTATGCCACCATGATCACATACCTAGTTTTCTTCATCACACAGAAAAAGGGAAAAATGACGTAATCAATTGTAAAAACAGATAGATCTTACACCTTACGAATCTTTTTGCATGGTTGCGTCTTAAACTGTATTTTACAAGCGGAGAACTTCCACGGTAGAAAACAAGGAAACAAAAAGAAGAAGAAAGAAAGTAACCACATTGAATTAATCTATTTCATGTAACTAAACGTGATTGACAATATAGTCTTCCCCAGCAAGCTTCAACTAGTAATTATACACAGCCTTCCTTGAAACAGCTTGACTTCTACTTCTAGGACACACATCTACCTTGTTATCTTCATCACCATCCTCTCTAAATGAACAAGGTTTCTCCTCATCAATTTTGCCAATCTTTCCTATCCCAACACTATAACTCCTCAGTCCCATTCCATTAGAGTATCCCATAGAACTAATGTTCCTTCTCACTTCTACTTCCCTATAATGAATTGTTGGCTGCATCTCATGACTTCTCCTTCCTGAAGCTGATTCTGAAAGCACACCACTTCTCCTCCCTGAAGCTGATTGTAAAGGTCCACTTCTTCTCCCTGAAGCTGATTCTAGAGGTCCACTTCTCCTCCCTGAAGCTGATGCTAGAGGTCCACTTCTCCTCCCTGAAGCTGAATATCCTATACTACTTTCTCTCATAGAATTATTGCTAAAACTCTTAGGCAAGCTTGATATTTGAGCTGTCGGTCCACCTACCATACCATTATAATCATTCCCAACCATATCCGAGCAATCTGTCACGAACTTCATGTAAAAGTTCCCGGCCTTCCTAAGAACTTTAAAGGGTGCTAACAAAATTACGACGAGCTTGTTTTGCTTTTTGGCTTCGCTTCTCGTTGTCCCACCCATATCCAAACTAATTATTTGCAAAAAAAATGAAGTGCAACTATTGATAATTAAGGAGGTGGGATGTTAATTTTGTTGCGAGAGATGGAAAGCTTGGAAGTTTTATGGCGATCATGATTAAGAAGAGTGAATTTATATATAGGCTTGTGATGGTTGAATTTGGATTTGATGACTTTTCTACATATTATTGTAAGGTTTAATTATTTGTTGGAAAAACGTCAAATTAGGGATGCTGAACGGAACAGATCGAAAAACGTGTGTGGACACTTTCCAACCACAAAAAGCCAGATATATGAAGGCTTCAAAAGTAAGTGTAATAGGAGTTCAATGATATATATATATATATATATATATATATATCGTGAATGTGATTTAATTAATTATATGGTCCAATAAAATAAAAACGATCCATATATATATATATATATATATAATTGTGCGCTAGCCGTTTTATCACTTTATGATTATGATCTCAGGACCAAAAATTGCCATACATGTTGATAGATTCATGGGGTTTTATCGACCATGTAATTCGATTTATTTAATTATTTTTTGGAGGCAGGAAGAGGCAATACAAATACGCAACAAATTGTAACAAAAATGTTTTGCTGCCTGCCTTATTGCTATGATGCCTTGACTTGACTTCTGCGAAGGCAATGCCAACGTTGCCTTCATAGTCTATTTACAGATAACTCAAATCATTTTGTTTTCAGGATATTTGGAGTTGGAAATTTTTAAAGTTTTCATTTCCAAGGAAATTAAAGAAAAGGAAAAATGAAAATACGAAACAGTTCGGTAGTCAGCTCCTCTTTTTGGAATTAGGTCAAGTCAGCTCGAAAAAGTCAGGATTAATGTTCAAGTTGCCGTGTGGCCCGGTTCCCATTAGACGCGGTTCCCAATGCTAAGCTTCTTGATGAGGTCACCGCAGCCGTAAGAAGATCCGGACACCTCACAAAACTAGTTGCAATGTTGCCCATAAATTTTTTCAACTGCAGCTATTTGATATACCATGATAGAATCAATGACAGAAATGGAAACAAATGGCTAACACCACACATTTAAACTGACAGATCAGTATTTTGTTCAAGCGTCGCATCTTGAATTGTAGAAGTTCCATACTTTCCAATTATTATCCATTAAAATTTGTGAATCGATTGTTGTTTTTTGGAAATCGGTAAAAACAACTTTTTTATTCGAAAGAATAACAATTTCAAGGATAAAGATTCAGAAACATTGATTTCATAATAATTCATATCGGCTAATTAACAGAGATCATGTTCTTCGTCAATTTGAAGTTCTGAATCTTTCACTATATGTTACCTCAAGCTTCCAAATTTCCACCTCTCTCAACCCCAACCCCAGTTTAATTAAATTTATTCTTTGGATAAATATCTTCAATTTGATTTTACCCAAATAATACAGTAATGGGGCAAGAAAGTGAGAAACGATTTGCATTACCTACCCACTTACCTACCATGGCAGCTGATGTGAATAAAATAAGCTTCTCAATTCAAACGTAATAGCAATCAACAATGGGCTCAGGTAGTTTTAAATTATCAACCTTGAGTATACTGAGCAGCCGCCGCCTCACAAAAATTCACATCATTGTTCCTAGATTAATTTATTTATTGCAAAATAGAAGTCAATAAGGTTAAAATAATAGTAGTGCTATGTTTTTGCGATTGTTGGGGCTCTAATGGTCTTTTTTGCTTGGAATTAGTCATATGGGAGCTAGGAACACACAAGCGTAGATAAATCCCTACACAAACAGATATTGTTGACTGGTTATGACTAATAAAGTCATATACGTGACCCATTCAAAAAGACATGACGCACCAGATAATTGTCAAAAAATAAAAAAAGGAGTAAAAGCAAGGCTTAAAATTGCAAACGCGTTATAACAATCATAGAAGCCAAAAAGAGAAGTTTCAAGAATTGATTAGCCTCTCTTCTCCCACTCATTAGCAAATTGGCATTCAAGTTAATGTAGGTTTATAGCAAGATCTTTCACTCACTAGTACTAATACTCAATACTCTTCCTACTAACAGCGTAGCTTTTACTTCTTGCATACGAATCTGCCTTCAAATTATGATCCTCCCTAAATGAACAAGGCTTATCCTCATCAATTCTCCCAATCTTTCCTACCCCAACACTATAACTCCTCCCCACACGGCCACTGGACCCCAATGTAGTTTGTTTCATGACCTCTCCATTCCCATCCATGTTTGACTCTATCTGATCATCAATTCTCTTCTTAGCCAACGAGTCTAAAATTCCCTTGAGCACCGCATCATTGTTCGAGTTTGAATCAGGTTTACTACTGAAACTCTTAGGCAAGGTCATGATTTGAGAAGTTGGACCGCCTACAAAATTCCCATTGCCAACTCTTCCGGCACATTTCCACATGCTCTTCATGTACAAGTACCTAGCCTTGCTAATAAATTTGAAAGGCGCAAATAAAATTCGAATGAGCTTGTTGCTTTGCTTGTTTGCTGTGCTCCTCATTTTTGCTCCAAAAAGGAAATAAATGTAACTAGGTAGATCGTGAACAAGGAGAATTTAGAATCTTAAGATTATTGAGATGAACAGAAGTGTGAGTATGTGTGTGTATATATATGTACGGTACCCTTCTTGATTTTTGGATTTTAAAATCATGTTAGACTTGTTTCTTGGAGGTAACTTCAGGCAGGGTTAATTTGAAGGATCGGCAAGAGTTGCTTAGAGTGTGGAATATTGTCAAAACCAAAAAACGACATGAGTATAGTTCACGGCACATATAGAATTCTACGGCAGGTCATATAAAATAGTACCGAAATAAACATGAAGGTTAATTATTGGACAGTAATTGGGGCCTTTTTAATCTGATGTTGACCTTATTGTCGTGGTCAAGGATGTTTTAACAATTGGTAGTTACCATTATTTTGTCTAATTCAAATCCTGGGGGATACACTGAATCAATTGAAATGAAAAGGATACGAATTCACAAAACAATCTGGATGGATGTTTTGCAGAGGTGCAACATCTGAAGACAGAAAAGAGATTTTATGCAAGTTTTTATCTGGGCAAAACAACAGCTAGCTGCCGAAGAAAACATTTCTTTCTATGTTGCTAAGAATTTCATGGTGTGCCTTGTCGACATCTCAGATGGGAGCAAATGAATCAAAGATGACGCAACAATCATTTTTGTTCTGCTAATTGTATTGTACAACAGGTAGTTTACATTGTGAAGAATAGGCTACAGAAAACTGATGTATAGGGATTAGCATTATTCGATTAAAACTGAACCAAATCGAATCGAAGTGGTAATTTCGGTTCAGTTTTTTATAAAAAATTTTTTTAAAAAAAAATCGAAACCGAAAACAGAAATTATTTTGATTGGGTTTGTTTCTTTCTTTTAAAAAAATTCGATTTTCACCGAAAACTGAATAAGCCAAACAGCCCCTGAGTTCCTTGCCAATTCCAAAGTCCAAACAGCCCCTAAGCTCCAAACAGTTCCTAGCTTCCTTGCCAATTTCGGCTACAACAAGGTACCAATGCTTTACAAATATTTGTAAAGGTAAGGATGTGACTTGTAGGGTCCACAGTTGCTGCATTGGCATTGAATAAGAATAAGCACCCCACTGCAGGAATGAAATTGAATTGTATATTTTTGATGAAAGTGCCAATGAAGAAGAAGAAACGGCATGGGTATATTTTGTTCATTGAATAAGCACGTCAGGAGTGCTTGGGAAATTATTTGCTTGAGTTTATTATTATATTATTTAATTTTTTATTTTTAGTAAAATAATTAGTTAGTCATTTATTATTTAAAAAAAATATTTCTACTAAGTCTAATTCTAATAAAATAATGAGTTAATTCTTTATTTTAACAAAATTAATATTGAGTTTCTATATTTCCATATTTGTTCATAATTTAGTCTTTCAGTTGGATTTTTATGACAATTTTTTTTTCATTCAATAACTTTCATTTTTAATTAAAATTTTCAATTAAAAATTAAAAAAAAAACGAAATGCAATCGATTTTGGTCAATAAATTAATTTGTGATTTGTGGATTATGTTTGGTATATTGGTGGCAATAGGCTGTGAAGGGGTAGGAGTATAGGGTTGAGACATTAAAAAAAAAAATAGATTTTTAACCGAAAACTGAAAAACCGAATTGAAAATTTTAATTTTTTAATCGAAAAACTGAACATCAATTCGGTTCGATTTCAATTTTTCTTTTAATCAATTCGACTAATCAAAAATCGAAATCGAACTGAAAAATCGAATGATCATCACTACTCGATATATTAGGAAACCTCAATTGTTTGAAATTTGTCACAACTGAGTTTTGTTTAGTTTTTTCTTTGATTCCTTCAATCAGGCGTTGTAGTAGGGATTGTCTCCTACACTTTCTTTATAGATCAATGAATTACTTCATTCATAAAAGAGAGAAAAAAAAAAAAAAAAAAAGGGGTATGAATTACTCTTGAAGATTTAGATCAATCACGAATGTACTTCTAACCAATTTACTGGGTAAAAACAATTATATGTTCTACTAAATGTGGATTTCAGATTAATATGATAAAAAAGATTAACATATTTAAACTTTATAGTTGAATAATGCAACGAAAATTAAATTAACAAAATAAGTTTTATTTTCAAAATAATAGCTAACTACGAACTCCGCTAATAATATCTATAACTCATCCTTGAATCTTCATGCCTGGCTTTGATTGCTTGTTGTGGTTTTTAGAGTTCTATCCCCAGAATTCATGTCGAATTTGAAATTAATAATGGTAAGTAGAAATGTTGTAGAAGCACATACATAGAATTAAAGCAGAGACCATCATAATATTGATAGGAAAGTGAAGTGCATGGAATCTCATTGGAAGACTTGGTGCCCTGAGAGAGAGTATCATATTGACTTGGTGTGCCCATGAGTAGTTTGTGTGGGAATTCAGGAACCAAATTAAATTAACTTCGATTCCTACACAACTTGGACAACTTGGTTTAGCTGGGTCTTTGGTTTTAGTAGGTTTTCAGCTGACCATGATTAGGTAAAACTGACCGAATGCATAATATATATCCCCAGAAAACACTTCATAATAAACAATAGTAGTGACTAAAACTTTGATATGGATTAGACCCTCTACTTAGTTTATTGCACAATTATGTATGCAGAGAAAAGATCAATATTCTTCAGTAGTAATAACGTTTAATTAAGGCATTCAATCTGTGCATATGCTGTATAGATGAAACCAAGAAATAAGAATCTCGATCTTCTCGCCTGCAGCTCACTGGATTAAGGAGGCAATGTTTTGTTTCTTTTTTACTACTACTCCTACTAAATATTTGTTTTAATCTAGATCTTAATTTATATGAAACCTTCTTCTGTCAGATCAATATACATATAGTTACTTCAAAAAAATAAAAAAATATTAAGGTACAATAACCAACAAAATGTAAAAAACTAGACTAATATTTTGGTCTCAATAATGTGAACTTGAACAACTAGATCCGAAAATGTTTACTCTATCTTCCCATTAGACCCTAAAGCTAAATCCTTGCACCCCAGTTCTTTCTCTGTACGCTTCCAAAAAACAATTCTCCTGCACACGTCAACATCCCATGACCACACCACCTTTATATAACATCTTATTCTTTTCTTCTCAGTTATTAAACAATTTCATTAGTTTTCTAATTTTCATCAATCATTATCATAGACATCTCTTAACATGAGACGGAAAGCGAAGTAGAAAAGCAAGTTTTGGAAGGTTATGGTCGCACGCACCCATCAAGATTCTAATTTCTAAGCAAGGTTAAAGATTATCACATGAAGTGCAGAGGGATTGTTCTGGAAAGCTAGGTAATAGCGGGGTAGGATACAGTCCTATTCTACAGTCTACAAGCACCAGAAGGAGCTTCAGTGTCAGTTCTTCCAGGGCAGTAGATGAGGAGGAGGCTATAGAACGTTTGACTTCAGTGTCTAAGGGAACAAGTGCGAGGTATGAGGAGTCAAATGCGCCTTTACGAAGGTAAGCTAGTAAAAGATGTAATTATGAGATGGGAAGGACTTTTGATGTTGGGGTAGGAAAGATATGGACAACTGAGGAGGATGAGCCTTGTTATTTAGAAGAAGAGTTGTTGTATCCTGTTAGAAGAAATACTTGTGCCTTTCAAAATAATTTTATCAATTACTAGCTTGGGAATGTGATAGAAAGAAAATCATGAATATTAGCCATGTTTGGTTCAGTGAGTTATTTTCAGTGGGAGCCTTGAAAGTAGATAAAGAAAAGAATTTGGGATGATTACTAAAAAAAACCTGTTTATAAAATCTTCTATCTAAAAAATCTATTAATTTATTTTTTTATTTTAAAATTCAAAACAATATTTTTCTTACCAAAACAGTTAATATTTAACTCCTTACTTAATACTAGTTATAACAATTGAATGTTTTGGTAAGATAAATATTATTTGTGTTTGAAAGAATTAAAAATAAGTATGTGAGTTTTTTGGAAGAAATATTTTTTAGATGATTTTCTAATAATTATCTATAATTTAAATAAAAATTATTATCTTTTAAAATATGTTATACATTTATCGTGTTATTTAATTTAATTGTTTGATAAAAAAGGTTAAATTTTGATTAATTAAAGACTAGTATCGTTTATGATTGGAGATTAATTATTAAGTATTTCGATAAAAAAAATTATTATAGAATGAAAGGATTTAAAAATAAATTAAAGAGTTTTTTAAATAAAAAATTCTTTTAGAAGAATTTTCCTCGCAGTTTTAGATGAGGCTCGAAATATGAGCTTAGTTAAAACTAAATGTACTTATTACAAAGATGATGGAACAAAAAAATGCTTTGACCCCTTAACATTTATCATCTCTTTTTTCTTTAGTGAGTCAAAAATGTCAAAGACCATGTCACAAAAAACGGAAACAATTCCTATTCTATCCGTTACCAAAGATGGCCACTGCGTGACTGAAAGAAAACTTACCACTGGTCAGGATCAATTCCAGAAGGATTCTTCCATACATAGCGTTATTATTCGAACTGAAGTTCAAGAATAAAATTGTTTTCGAGAGGTTGATTTAGATGTTAAGAAAAAGATTCATTAAAATTGATGCCAAAATTTTAGTCTTGATATGGATATCAAACACATGTGAAAGATATAATAGTATGCGTGATTTTATGAATATAAAAAAAGACAAAAAGAGAGAGAGAGAGAGAGAGAGAGTAGATATCGATGAAAATATAAAAAGGAAAAAAATATATTTGGGCTTTATGATGGACTTATTACAAAGTGGGCTTGACGAGTTTAGGAAATTTGTGAGAGGAGTGAGCAAAACTCATTGGATTTTATTGATCCAAAACAACTGGCCTAACTCAATTGAAACCCTACGGATCAAATTTAACATTTTCTTGGGAATAAATGAAAAGGTGTATATATATATATATTTTTTTTGGATAAATAAAAAAATATTAAAATTAACTTCAATATGATCCGCCAATAACAATTCTACCTGGTCAATAAAAAAATAAAAGAAAACAAGTATGAGAATAAAGGTTTGGCCTTTTAATAACGAGAAACCCCACCCAAGTCTTCAATAAGCCTTTATATTAGTTTTTAATTACTAAAATTTACATTCAATTGAACATCACTATTTCATGCTTCGTTAATGGCCTTTACTTAATGGACTTAGATTAATGCGCAAAGGTGTTCATTCCAACTATTTCCAAGCCCTATGGCAGAAGCAGAAACGTTATACGCAGGCGCAGCAGCAAGAACTAGCTTTGGCATCATCAAACTCGAGCGTAGCGTAAAAATTGATGAATGACACGGGCAAAAAAAACCGCAGTATAGCATAGTAAATTATAACCAAGCAACAAGGTCCACGGGTCTATGGACACCAGATTTTGGTAATTCCTCATTATATTAATTTTCAGATGAGACGATCATCTTACACTTTTTAGATAACATTCTTCTTGATCTAATGTTGTTTTGGTCTCATGGATCTTAATTCCTGCTGGACTCATTGAAAATATTAATTTTTGGCAACTTTTTAAAAGAAATAGAGGAACATATGTAGGACAATATTTGTTATTGAAAATGAAATTTAATTTCTGATTTTTTTTATCTCTCATAGAAATTTCTTTGACTCTGCGTAGGAAAGACACGGTTGTAGAGTCTTTGATGTAGGGTGTCTTTCTGGTGACTTTACAGATCAGAGCATAACATAAAGAAGTTAAAATAATAATAATAATAATACTAATAATTTGGAAGGGCAAACATGTAGTTATCTTTTAAATGATCATAATTTTTTATTTTGATATTCGGTTGGTGTAAACTATATCGATTTAAAAAAATTATTTAGTGGTCCACGTGGTGGAGAAAGACCAAAAGCTTGGAGATTATTTTAAAATTCAAAATCTACTCTGAATATTTATTTTGGGACCCTTTTGAAATTCAGACATAATCCAAATTAATCTAATTTAGGAATTAAGACTTGTGTTTTGTTTTTTTCTCCTAATTTTTGTATTTTAGAATTAATTTCCTGATTTTTTGTTTATTTTATTTTTTAGTTTAGCTCTTAGTTAATTAAGACAGTATTATTAAGAAATATTCAAACTTATTGAGTTTTCCATCTTGAATCATGTTTTTTTTTTCCTTTAAGAATTTTAAATACTAAATAACTTGGTATCTTCTCACTACACGTTGAGTCAGACTTCGTCGAGAGACAATTAAGCTTTGGAGTTACTCGTCCCTTTCTTGGAACCCACTTCTTTGTGAGGATAGGATTCCAAGAAAACACAACCATTGGGTTAATTAGTTTCTTTCCAGGCAACTTACCCATGTGTGGGTTTTCTTTTTCGATGAGAAACAGGTCCGAAGTACGTGCAGGAAGCTGGATGGAAATTGGTAGTAGCTTTGCGTCATCGCAGCTTGCATCATCCCTTTCTTATATCATTATATGCTCTTTATTTACCTAGACATTTTCACAGATTTTGTAAAGCGAGGAATTCCAGGGTCAAGAACAAAATACGCTAAAAGAGTCGTTATTGAGTCTTCACACTCAGCTATAAAAAATAGTTATGTGCAAATTAGGTGACAAAGCCTGAAAATTTTATTAAAATGACAGATTAAAAAAATTAACATATATTAAAAATAAAATTAATTCAATCAAAATATATTAAGAAATAAAATTATTATATAAAGACATTGAGCATTAAACTTTTTTATTAATCAAACCAACTAATTAAGTGCAAGATGACTAGAATAATAAAATCGTACAAGGCCAGTTGAATAAATTAAGCAGCATCAAGGAAAATTTCTTAAAGAAGCTTTAGCCACTTGCATAGATTCCCATTACTTCCCTATAAATGAAGTTCTATGTTTTCGTTTCTGCAAACGAAGTAATATTCTTCAAGCTGCCTTTCTAGCAACGCCAAGAATGAATCAATTTCCCCAGTAAGCAAAAGAATTCTTCTTCACCTAAATAACGTTTAATTCTGCAAAATATTATATGGGTCAATCCTTAAAGAGCTTGTGCTATCTTGTTCCTGTATGGTTTTGTTTTTGTTTGCAGGTTTATCAGTGGACTAGATTTGGCAAACTTAGTGGTCAACGCTGATCTTCTCCAGCTTTCATGTGGGGCCATAAAGGACCTACTCGCAGAAACCAATCAAGATGAACAATTGTCCGAGACTCTGTCTGTCAGATACAAACTTGTTAACCAATCAAATTGTACCATCATAGCTTTTGCCACTTCGCCTCTCTGTACAAAAGACCATATTTTACGAGGACGAGATCTGGTTTCATCATCAACTCTCAAGGAGCAGGGGTTTCCTCTCTTTGACTTCTTATGCTCCAAAGGCAATCCGTCCTTCTCCGTTCATAGAGCTGCAATAAACCTTTTTCAGGCCTATTTTCAGGAGCTTTCTCAACTCAAAGCTCAGGTACTCTTCTTCCTTACTATCTTCTGAATCTTTTTCCATATATGCCTTTACTTGGGTTTTATTTTTGTTTTCATTAATGTAGAATATCACATAGCCATTAGATCTGGTGAACTGGGTCACATTCATTTTCTATTAATATCTACCTCCATTGTTAAAAAGAGTAAACTATTACTTAAGTCCCTGTATTTTATATCTATTTATAACTTATTTCCTCCCTTGGTTGTCAAATGTTGTTCAGTCAATTTAATTGTTCTTCCTCCTAAAATGTGTTTATTTAGTCAAATGTTACAATTTCACCAACTACAAACAAAACCATAAGGCATTTACAAGGGCATATTGAATTTTTTGAAAAAAATTATTGACAGTCAACTCTGGTTAAGTAATTGGCATATGATTTTCAAGAATACAATAATTAATTCTTAAAATCATAAAACACACAGGTACTAATTAAATTGTAAATTTTTAATGGCCATCCGGTTAGGAAGGTCAACTCCATTTTGCCTTGGAGATTCATCAATGTTTCACTTCAATCCTATAATTTAAAGAATAATGTTAAATACTAAAATATATATATATATATATATATATATATATATATAACAAGTAGAAACTTCAAAAAATACATATGGGTTATTCGATTTATGGGACAATAATTGGGTCTCATTTGAAAATCATGATCTAGCAGGCATGTGTGTCTTTCGTGTTTCGCATTATTTTTTTGAAAATATTTCTTACCGTTATCCTATAGGTTCTGGAAAGTTTCAATTTTAGCCGTTGCTATTGAATAAATAACAGAAGACTACCCTTTTTCTTCATCTGTCCTTTTCTCTCGTTTTTTACTCTCATATTCTCATTATATATGTAATCCTATCTCACAAAACACACTTAAAGGCTAAAAGAATCCAAAAACCAAATTCAAAAGATACATTATTCGATGTTAGAGGCAACGCTGGAACTTTATGAAAACTAAAACAGGAATATTAAGAAACTAAAAACTATATATAGAATTAGATGTATAATATTGGTCAATCTATAGGGGAAAAAAATGGAGTTTACTTCATACGAAAAGTTTAAGAAGGTCATGTGTGCGTTCATGTGTTTAGGATAAATGAAAAAATGATTAATGCAATGCAGTAATATTTTATAGTAATTATATCTAAGACCTTGGGTTGAATAATGTAGTAGATGTATCATGTCAGATCCATGATTTGAAGACTGGTGAATTACTCGTGAAATCTCAGTTGATTGTTACTGGACACTCTCTTGGAGGATCAATTGCTTCTCTCTTTACCTTATGGTTGTTAGACAACATCAAGCAAACATCCAAAATAAATGAACTCCCCCTCTGCATCACTTTTGGTTCACCACTTATAGGCGACCAAGGCCTCCAACGTGCCATCTCAGGACGTTCAATATGGAAGCATTGCTTTCTACACGTTGCCGCCAACAAGGACCCACTTCCAAGAATTTTCATAACTTCACAAGCTAATCCTCAGTACATGCCTTTTGGTACGTATTTCTTCTGTTCTAGGTCAGGATGCAACTGTGTTGATGACCCTGAAGTGGCTTCAAGGTTGTTGAAAAGCACAATTAGTCAAGTTTCCGCTGAAGAAATGGGGATTGATGATTATAGCGGAATAGGGAAGCATCTGAAGTCGAGGCTTATCATGAGGGAAAATTCACAACTTGGCCAACCAGCTACACCTCCACTTCGGCAAGGGATAATTTTACAACTGAACGCAGTTGGAGTTGAAATAACAGCTCAGGTAAGTAGCACTGTTTTTTCCAAATAAAACTATACTTGCACAAAGTTTCTTCACAACGTTGATTGATGAATTTCACCAACAATTCACTTTTAATAGTTTGGTGATGCTAAAGTCCTTCAAAACTTCAGGTCAAGGCATGACTAGAGTGATCTAAGATCAATTGGCAATTATATTTCCCTTTAATAATTCCCTAAGCTCACTTTGTTTTTTGCTATCTTCTTCTCGTTTTTCGTGTAACTAATGGCAAATCCATTTAAATTCAGCAGCAGCAGAACAACAGCATCAATGATCTTATATCCGAATTGGAAAGGCACATAAATCGAATGGCACTACAAATGAAGGCTACTGACCCAAAAAAGCTAAACCAAGTAAAGATAAAAATGGCCTACCTAGAATGGTACAAGAAAGACTGCAAGACTAAGGGGATAGGCTACTATGATAGTTACAAGAACCTGTACTCTATCAGCGACAGAGAGGTTACCAGGCACAAGAAAGTTCTCGTCAGTTACTGGAAAAAATTGGCGGAGGATGCTGAGCAAAAACCCCAGAAAGAAGGAGCTAATATGCGGGAGACATGGCTTTTTGCTGGAACAAATTATAGAAGAATGGTTGAACCGCTTGACATTGCTGAATACTATAGACAGACTGGGAAACGAGACTATAAAAATAATGGAAGATCAAAACATTATATTCTGCTTGAGAAATGGCAAAAGGAGCATACAGAAAAACTTGCAGGCCCGCCAAATGATAAGAAGAAACAAAGTGTGGCCGGTAACCTTACAGAGGATTCTTGCTTTTGGATGAATGTGGAGGAGGCTCTCATTTCATGCAAATTGTTGAAGGATGAAACCTCCAGTACTGCAGAGAAACAATCAGCGAGACAGTTTCTGAATTGGTTTGAGCAATATGTGATGGACCAAATCAATAACTATGCGGTATCTCCTGAAATTTTCTTGGAGAGAAGCAGTTTTATGAAATGGTGGAAAGATTTTCGGAAAATGATAGAAACATCCCATGATTCTCCTCTCGGTGACTTCATGAAGAATGCCAGATATCGCCAATATGAAATAGGGCAGTTTTAGACTTTTATTATTCAAGATGTTATAAAATGCTTTACGTTCGTATGGATTATATTACACCAAACGAATGTGTAATTGCTGTTAGAAAAAATAACAATGGTACCGTACTTCTTTCTTTATTTTAATTTTTTCTGTTCAGAACAATGTAGTATTCTTCCAGTCCATAACATTGTTGGTTAGAACGAGAGAAGGAAAGAATTATTAAAGTTGTTGGAGAACTCAAACAACAAACACAAGCTTTTTTTTCCTTAAAAATTTCTTCTTGTCCTCATTCTTAATTAACAAACATTTTATTTCAAACTTGCGACAGAGTTCTAGAATAACAAAGATCTAATTTCTGGAGAAGCTAAAAATGATTAGTTTTATTACTGCAATGGCCCTTTTAAATTTTTTTACCAGATATCAAGAGTAAGCCATCGCCTGTTCATTTAGTGCGTAGAATTGATCAGCGAGAAAAATGTTTTGAAGCCAAATTTCGCTTTCCTGTCACTACAAGCAAAGGATTAAGTAATGGCTCGAAGATCTCTTGGTGCAATGAGAAGAAATTTCTTCTGGGGATCACCTAAAGGCGGGTGGCCTTTATTGCCATATATGGTCCTTCCTGCAACAAATCGAATTCTTGTGAGATTAAGAGAGATAATTGTTATGCATCATGTATGATTTTTCATAAGCTACAGGAAAGTGAATTCTCACATGTGCTTACTGATGCATGTTAGTAGCAGAATTACAAGTCATGTTCGAGAAAATATGAGAAATCAATATTTATCTCATCATGTTTTGTAGTTTTATCTTTCACAGAAAAAGCGAAGGAGACACTGCAACCTAATTTCTAGGCCAACTTTAGGCCATTGATTACTATCAAATTCAATACCCTTTCGTTGGAGGGGTAAGTAAAATCTCAACAGAAATGTTGAATGTGAATACCCCACAGAAAAAAAAACCAGGAAGAAACTGGGTAGGAAGCCATGGAAGCAGAACTTCGTTGCCGCATCCTTTCATCCTCGTACAGAGGCCACTCTAATCTCTGCATTTTTTCCAATTTTCTCGGATGTCCATGAAGAATACTATGCTACTCTCTCCTCTGAATGACAAAAGCTTGACTCTCTATGTAAGAAATTGATGTGGGATTCAACTACCAGTTTATTAGACTCCAACCTTGACCAAAAGTAGCCAAATCCTTCTTATACCATCTCGATAGTCAAGAGCAACTCCAAGGCCCTTGCAAGGAAACAATCTGTTCCTGGCTTTCTGCTGTTCTAAATAGACAAAATACCACTAAGACTTGACAAAAACACAAGACCATGTTTACTTGAAAATGTGAAGACAAACAACATCCTAAAGACTGGAAGCTGAACAGGTCAAACTATTGAAAATTGACATTGGTAACAGCACATCATTTATCATATGAAGTTGGATACTGAACTTCTCAACCATGTTTCAAGAAAGCAAAGTCTTCATATATAGATTGAATGCCATATATTTTCAGTCAGGGGTGGCCTCCTAAAGGCGAGGAAGCAAGGGCCTGGGCATAAGCCCTACTCTTGTCATCTAAGAATGAAAAAAAGAAAAAGCAAAAACCTTAACAACTTAAGGAGGACCACATACGGTTATCACAGCTTCTGTCAATTCTACCCCATGCTATAGAATATGATGCCAAATGCCTTAGACAGCCTCATCCTGAAGCCCCAAACAGAATTGTAACAAAAGCGAAAGACAAGAAAATGAGCTCAATAAGACCATATCAAATACATAATCCCTGGCGAAACCAGGAAAATCATAAATCACCGCAAGAGGTGAGTTCTGCAATAGTAGCTGTGGATGTGGCTAATTGGCAGTAGTAATAATGCATGCCAGCCAACTCATGGCCTGAAAAATCCTCAAGGCAAGTCCTGGAGGACGCCCAATGGATGAAAAATCCATCCTCTTTGAATCAGTCCATGTTTAGAAGCTGCTCTAGGGTGATTTTTCGGCTAGCTGTAAATATGATGATTTCAAGAAGACTGGAAACTCTGTCCATGAGTCATAAGATCTAAGTTAAGGACAGCATTGAACCAAGACCGTATGTTCTTACCTTAGATTAGATGCAACGTGAAGCGTGCCGAAGTCTCTGCAATCCAGAATTGCAATCAAAACCTTTCACAAGCATCAACTGATAGAATTACTGGTAGCTAAATGGAAAACTATACATGTTGAAGAGCTTCATTTCGCAATTTTGGAGAGAGAATTTATCCCTAAACGATAAAACCTCAAAATGAGCTCGTTAAATGAGGCTGCTAGCAGTCAGGTATTAAGTTCGTTGCTGAAATAAAACCAGCTTAATTAATTATGGCTACAAATGCTACTAATCCTCTATCCATTCACAAAGAGAGAGGAAAAATCAGTGAAATTAAACAATGAAAACCCTGTATGGTTGTTATTCATCATTGATAAGGGTTCCAAATATGAACAATTGGATTACTTCAAGATAAACAAATAGATGCCAGAAATAAAGATTAAAAATAAATAAATAAATCTGAATCATTTTTCGAATTATGCGTGTAATCTTAATTTTCTGTATCATTCCAACTTTATCAGTTATCTTCGAAGAGAAAATATGACATTTGCTTGCTCGCGCTTAAAAAAACTTCTCTTTTCTTGTAACTGTCGATGTGGGAGCCAGTTCGATCTCAACTAATAAACGTCACTCCTTTGGTATCCAGTTCTACACGTCATCATATGTCCCGTTCTCTCTCTCTCACACGTGAGACAGAATCAATTGGATGGTAAATGGGCTTAAAAGAAAGAAAGAAAAAAAAAACTCAAGCCCATGGAGCTTTCATCAGGAAGGAAATATGGTTTTGGTAGTTGTTAAAGCGAAGAGTTTCGAAAATACCACAACATTTCGCCTTTTTATTTTATAAACTTTAGTTTTATCTCCTGAGGGTTCAGGTTTAAGGGGTTTTAAAATTTTTCTCCAGATATTTTTATTTGTATTACTTAATATTTTAAAATTTTATTAAATTTTCAATTCTTTCCTTTTATTTATTACACTAACATAATTAATGACGTGATATTTTTTATATTTCAATTGATTTCTTAAAATTTTTATAAAATCTTAATCAAGCACGCATTTCTCAATCATATTAATTATTTTATTTTTTTTAGGATTGTAATTTTTTCTATTTTTTTATCTCATATTTATCAAATTTATAAAATTTTGACATTTAAAAAAATCATAAATTTTGCATATTTTAATGAAATCATAACGACATAATACCAAGTTAATATAGCTTCTTAATAAAAGAAAAATGCTAACATAATTTGTTATCGTCTTTTTATATTTTTGAAAAATTTTCAATAAACATACTTACTTGTGTAAGTAAAAGTTAATATAAAAAATTAATAATATTTATACATTGTATTTTTTTTTCCAAATCATAATTGAAATTTTCATATTAATCCTTCAAATAATATTAAAATTCATAAACTCAAACTAATAACTAACAATATGGTATTTCATAATTGAAATAACACTATTTTCTATATTTTCTTTCAAATTTTAATAAGGCAAATTTTATAAATTTTAAAATGATTGAAGTATAAATATTTAATTAAGACTTTTTTGATATTTTAGAAAATGAATTGAAACATGATATATGAGTTTAGATTGAGAAATATCATGTTAAAAATGGAAGGCGAACAAGGTGGATTTGTTCATGTTGAAAATGATTAAACACTCATCAAGTTATGACATTATTAAGATGTCAATAGAAATTTTGCAATTTAAAAACATTTAGGCTAAAAGGATCGAACCACTCCTGAATTTTAAGTCATTTGAATTTGAGTTTTTAAGCTTTTTTATTAATTTTAGAGATTCTTGAACTTTTAACTTTTTTCATATTTAACCCATCTTTTGGTTTTCTGTCATTTATCTCAAAAATAATAATTACATAAATAGTTTCGTGATAAAAATTATTCAATGAGATTTATGTGGGGCTACTAAAAAATTTAGGATCATTTCAGGGTTGAATTTCTATATTTTTAGAGTAAAAAAATATATATGTACAAATATAGTTTTCAATATTGAAAAATTCTTGAATTTTTCTATAAAATGGATTGAATTTTTTCTAACACGTGTACAAAAAAAAATCAAAATACTAAGAATTAAATTTTTTAGAAGGAAATATGATAGTTGAAATTCATTAGATTGACTAAATCTCAAAAAATTAAAAATTTAAGAATTTCAAAACTAATAAAAATATTAAAAAACTCGACTTCAAATGATTTAATGTTTAAGAATTGTTACGCCTTTTTAGCCAAACATTTAAATAGCATTGTGAAGATATAGATTAATTAAGGGAAAACTACATAATAAATACATTAACTTTGAACCTATTGTCAATCGAGAACATCAACTTTTATTTTTTTTGTTTTAATATATTAACTTTTTCGAAAATATCAATAAAGCATTTTTGTTTAATTTTCTGCCCAATGATGATGTGAAAGCTAACAGAAAAGACTAAATGGCTACATTGCCCTTTTTTTCTTTTCTCCTCCCAAATGAAAAAACTACATAATAAGTACTTCAACTTTTAACATTTTTCTCAATTGAGTACGTCAACTTTTATTTTTTAAAAAAATACCAATCATGTTTTCCCATTTAATTTTCTATGCAATAATGGTGTGACAGCTTAATAGAAAAAATTAAATTACTATGTTGTCCTTTTTATTTGTTTCTCCTCTCAAATTGTTATTGTTATTTAACTATTAATTAAAAAAAAAAAAGCAAAAAGGCAAAGCATGTAGCAAGCATATATAATTTTCTATGTCAACTGCCACATCATTAGTATAAGAAAAATTTGACAAAAAAATTTGATTGACATTTTCAAAAAAATTAATATATTGAAACAAAAAAAATAAAAAATTGATATACTCGATTGAGCAAAGGTTTAAAGTTGAAATACTTAATATGTAGTTTTTCCATTTGAGAGGAGAAAAGAAAAAAATTACAAAATAGTTATTTAGTCTTTTTCGTTGACTATCACATCATCACCAAAAGAAAAATTAGATAGAAAAACTTGATTAACATTTTTGAAAAATTTGATGTATTAAAAAAATAAAAATAAAAATAAAAATTGATGCATTTGATTAAGAAAAGATTTAAAGTTAATATACTTATTGTGCAGTTTTTCTGATTAATTAATTACCACTTATGCATTTACTGTTATCAAATGTCAAAAATACCAATCACTTAGGCCAATAAGCTATGCAATCTATGCAAAAGATCTGTGTTAGGATCCACTTGCAACGCACTGATTGCCTTCAGAGGCTTAACCCAAATTGGGGGTTTTGTGCCACCTTAAGTTGAAAAATGTGATGAATATAAATATGTAGTTTATCTATATATTCTTATTAGAACAAGAAAATTGATTTAACTTATGATTGAGAATTTCCCCAAGCCAAACGTAATGTTTTCTAGGCATAAGATAAAAATTAATTAATATTAATTGTGAGAATTTGTTATATATATATAAGGACTGTTTTGTATAAGATTATAACTCAAAAGATGAAAGTGTAAAAAAAAAAACAAAATACCAAAAAAATCACCTTTTTTTTTTTTTTGAAAAATTACGTTGTTTCAATATAAAAAAGTACAAAAACGATGTTATTTTGTTCAAAGTCGCGCTATTGTGAAACTCGCATCATCTTGTAGATTATTTACTAGTCTCGTTGCCTATGTTATGTTGCGGATCGGATATAAAAAAATTATTTTAAAATTTTTTAATTAAAAATTTTTATATTTTTTAATTTATTCATAAGTTTTATATTTAAAAAAAATGATTGATTCTTTTTTATGCATTGATTTTAAATAATAATTTAAACTAAAATATTAATGAAGAATTAAAAAAATTAAAAATATATTTTTTATAAGATTGTATAAAAAAAATTAATTGGATGAGAATTTCAAAGGTAATGATAAATTTTAAATAATAAAAGTAATATAATCTAAAATATGTAATAATTTTAAAATATAAAAATATATTATATATTTTTTATTCTCGTCACTATCTGTTTGAAAAACATAAATAATAATGCTCGATATTTCATAA